TGTGTTCAATGAAGAGCAATAAATATTTCATCAGATTTATTACACATAATGTTCAGGAAAATCAAGCACAGCTTTACAAATTATAGATTTAATAAACGATGAGCAATGATCTCTTCAATATATTCCCTGCCAATCACCCCAGAACATACACTTCAAATGTATATGTGGAGATATATACATATATGTGCATACATATATATATATATATACACACATAAAAGTATATTTATAGTTCACTGTGACCTAGCTCAAAGGGAAGGAGTTTGAGCACTGGATTACCTTCCTCAAATTGTCATGGTACTTTCATGCAGTGGTCTTCCAAAAGTAAAAAAAATAAAAATAAAAATAAAAATCTTTGAAATCAAATAATACACCAAGTTATGATGCTGACAATTCCTCAGTGAACCATAGAGAAAATATTATTTTTACGAAGGCATATAGCTCTGCATAATGGGAAATTAGGAAGTTGCTGTTCTACCCAAAAGCAGACAACTGCTCTGCAAATGTGTAAATATCTACCTAAGATCTGAGGAAATACTAAAATAAACATTTACAATGAATCCTCAACTTTTATCAGGCATTTTCAGTTCAGAAGCTATGAACTAGCAAAGGAGGGGAGGGGACATGACCACTATGCTTTTCCCAGATTATTAGAAACTGAATATCTAGGGAAAGAAACCCAAAGTGTCACTGAAAGAGTTCACCTGAAATTAAGAAGCCACTGAAGAAGCAGTCAAGGAGTCAAAAGTGTATAAGAAGTCAGAGAAATCTGTAGACAGATAACTCTCACAGTAACACTAACATTTTTTACATAGCTCTAGGTATGCTTATATATCCCAAGGAGTTTATTGTGATTCATATTTGCAGAAAGGGAAGTGAATGAGAATGCATACCTGATCAAAATATTTGAGGACAGATGGAAAACAAAAAGTGCAACTAGCCAATCAACAAAACAACCACCTGTCCCAAAAAACAGAAAGGAAAAAGCAGAACAAGAACTTTCTGAAGATTGTACAAACGTGTTTATTTTGGACTTGATTTTGTAAATCACTCTTAGGCTTAGTTTCCATCTTCCTAATGTTGAAGATTTAAACTCATCTATCAGCTTTTGAAAGTTTGAAGTCTTTCAGCTGTCATTTACTCAGTACAGTGGAGCCACTTTCATAGAAGATGACTTCTATGAAAAGTTAATTAATGTTCCACTAACAGAATAATGGAGTAGCTGGAATGGTTGCTCATGAGTTAGAAAGATCAGGCACCGCTGTCACAGGCAGCTGCCTTATACAGATTCTTCACCAAGGTTAATTTTCTGTTCATGCAGGGAAGATATCTAGGAAAGTCAGTAAGAGTTCTCGTACTTATCACTAAAAGATCAGCCCAGAGTAGCCACGAGATGTCACTGTGGGCCTACTAAGAGATCCACTGTTAGGGTTGGGAAAATATAAATAAATGCCATAAATTAGAAACCACAGCTAATTTTCTATTTCATAAATTAATCAACAATAAAAATACAAAGATATTTTTATCATATATTTTAAAAATATTTTTTAACATTTTAACAGTTTTTATCTGGTCACTTTGGAACTCAGAAAATGTAAATATGCAGGGTCTTTATACCAGCACTTCAACACTGCCAGCCTTCTAGGAGGCAGTCACTGCTGGGGTAAAAAACTATTTTAGATGAGATGAAACGTATGCATATATGGGGTAAACCCAACAAATAAATAAAACACCAGAAAAAAAGAATAAAAAAATCAAAGAAACCTTATGAATGCTTAGGAGTTCTAAAACATTCTTTTCATACAGTCTTGAATTTTAATTATTCCTTCTGTAAGGATTCCCACACATAAAAAATTAAGATGTGTTTTATGTTGTACACAGTTCTTGAAATCAGAGATTTACATTCCTCATGAGTTCCTCATGAATATGAGGATGTAATAAAGACAATTTTTTATGACTGTTGTATGATTTTGTCCCAAAATATGAACATTAAGAAATATAATGGAGATTACTTTTGGTACAATAAGATAAAAGTTTCAGGCCAGATTGCTTTCAGTTGAGCTCTCAAGATCAATTTAAGTACAAGCCAAAGTATTTACAGGGAAGCTTAGACTCTTTGATGGATATTGAATAGGTCATAATATAATTTAGGTATTATGATATTTAAATTTAACATTTAGATGTTTCACCAGTTAGAAAATTTACAGATTCGTAATCAATTTAAACAGTGATTGGGAATCTGAGGTATGTAGGAATTCACACTAAATGATGAATCACTGGAACACATATAAAATGCCAATACGGAAGTCTGACTTAATCCTGCATCTTGCAGAGACTGAAGTGCCCAATTCCATGACTCCGAAAGGTACCTTTACTCTTCTGAAACTCACAGTTAGCTATTCGTGTGGGCTAGTATTCTCCAAAGTATTATAATGAAGTTTACTATTGAGAAACTGTCCTGGATTTGAGTGAGTGGTGGAGTTTTTTGGTGGCAGGGGAGGGGGCTATAGGGGCGGCCCCCTGTGAGAAGCTTCTCGAAGCTCCCCCAGCTCCAAGTCAGCTCCACTTCTGCTCGAAAACTGAGCCAATCAGCTGCGCCTCTGCGATAATGTATTTAAGAAGGGACGTGGTGACGGGCAGCGGGACTTGTGAGGAGGAGCTGCTGCAGCTGCGTGAACACCAAGGTCAGTGGAGGAACGGAGGAAGAAAGGAGGGGGGAGGTGTGCCAGAGCAGAGACCCCCCTGTATCCTGTGGTGAGACGGCAGGGCGGCCCCCCCTGCCACCCATGGAGATCTACGGTGGAGCAGACGGTGATTTATGGCCTGTGGCTTCCGCCCACATGATCAAGGTGCTGTGCCCAAAGAAGGCCGGGGTCTTGTGGGAAAAGGCAGCCCCGCTGCTGTAATTCAGCACTGGGAAGATTGCAGCATGCGGGGGAGTCCCACGCCAGAGCAGCTTGGGAAGGGCTGCAGCCGTGGGAGGGAATCCAGTCGGAGAAAGTTAGTGACCCACAACGGAGCAGTGTAGGGAACGCTGCAGCTTGTGGGAGGGACTTATGTCAGAAAAAGTTTGTGGAGGACTGTCTCCTGTGAGAGGGGGACCACGCTGGAGCAGGGGGAACAAGTTCCAGCAGCTCTCCCCACTGAAGATGGAGAAAGTGGCAGCACTGACTGCACCCCCCATTCCCTGCCCCTGCGCCACTGGGGGAGGAGGTAGAGATATTGGGAGCAGAGCTGAGCCCGGGAAGAGGGGAGGGGTGAGGGGAAGGTGTTCTCAAGATGTGGTAATGCTTCTCACTGTCCTACTCTGTTACGTGTTGTTAGTATCTGTAATGTATGTATGTTCTTTTTTTCTTCCCCTAACGAGTCTGCCTTTTGCTCGTGACCATAAAGGGGGATTTTTTCCCCATCCCAGTCCTATCTCGAACCCCAAGCCTGGCTCTCTGTCCCTTCTTATTGCCGGAAGGGAGACAGAGTGGCTGCGTGGTGGTTTGGCTGCTGACCAGGCTCAAACCATGACAATTCCTAAATACAGTATAAAGGAAAACCTAAACATCATATACTCAGGCACCTTAGTTTTGACCCTGGTATGAAGTTTCAAACCTATGCCATACCAAATCCAATATGAATCTACTAGCTATGCTTTCCTCTTAAGTGAGCTGACAGCACACCTGGCACAAACTGGACAAACTTCACACAGAAAGCAACAGTGCCTGATTCCTATTGCACAGGCTGGGATTCAGGTAAAGTTGCCTTGCCTGCTACACAGTAAAGAGCAGCTTCACTGCAGTAGTTACAGGTGCTAGTTATTGGTTTGGCCATGAAGGCATTCTTCTAGGAAGACACACATAGGACCTGAATCTGGGTCTTCTCATTCAATAGTTGTTTGCACAGAACTAAACAGAGCACATAAAGTACGACTTGAAATGGGAAGCTCTATTCAGATTACCTGTCATTCCCTTCCACATGCAATCATGTTCAAAATTCACCAATGAAACTGAATAGAAGTAAAAAAAAATGAGTGACCATTTCTACCTGGCCACAGCAGAGACAATACAACCATTAACATACCTCCTTTGGAAAGAAAAAACATTAATACTTTAGTTACTATTCAGTTAATTAACCCATGCTACTGACAAGTGTTCATCAAAGTAAGATGATGAGGGCTCTAGATGTTGACATAACTTCAGATATCTGTTCAAGTAGATAGCACTGTAGCACATAATACCTGAGGGGACTACAAGAACATACAGCACTGCGCTACTATATTTCTGTAAAACAAGTCTCAAGTAACTAACTTACTAGAAGTTACCAGGTTCTTCTGCTGTAGTGTGACAGCTGTCCTTCACGTTTTAGTGTCTGAACACTGTTGCAAACTACGTTACTCACAGCAGTCTCCTTAACACTGATAGCATCACATTACAAAACTCAGAACACCTTCATTCCAACTTAATTTACATCTGCTTTTTCCCTTGGACATGTGAAAACAGTTTTTAAAAATAATTATCAGATATTTTTCTCCTCCTAAAAAACTTTGTGCCTTATGGCAAGATCATATCACCATTAAAATGCAGAAGGCTAAGCTGCATTTTCTACTACACACAATGAAAACAATGAAGGCAAATGAATGTCATTTATTTTTAAATCAAAGTTAAGATTTTGAAGATCCATTCTTCTGCTCTCACCAGAGATCTGAAAGATCCTTGCACCACAAACGTTCAAGACAGAGTACTAACAGCACTTCATGTTTTGCGGGTCACGATGAAAGGAAACGAGCAGGGATTGAAAACCGCTCTACAAAAACAAGTAGCAGAGCGCTGAGGTTTCCCACCTCGCAAACGCTCCAGACCCGCGGAGCTGGGGGCAGCGAGCCCCCCCTCAGGGACCCGCTGCCTCCCTAAGCCCGGCGCTGAGGGAGGCTGGCGGGAAGGCGGCCCCCTCAGCAATGGGGTCCTTCTCCCAGCCCGCTGCTGCTCCCTAGAGTGCGGCCACGCAAAGGGGAGAGCGCCCTGCCCGCCGGGGAACGGCGGGCCTCGGCCAGCACCCGGGCGCGGCGGCTCCAACCGCCGGCCTCGGCGCGCAGGGCTGCACCAACGGTTTCAACGGCCGCCGCCGCTCCCCCAAGTGCCCCCTCAGCAGGAAACACCCCCATCCCACCGCGGGGGAAGCAAGAGACGGGAACGCCGAGCCCCGACAGAAAACCCGCGGCGCGCCCACCCCTTCCGGCACCGCCCGGCCGCGCGTCCCGAGCAACGGCGGACGGTTTACCTCAGCAACGCCACGGCCCGCGGGCGGCGGCCGTTCCCGCGTGGCGAGCGGAGCCGGCGGCGAGTGGAGGGGCGGTTGGGTGCCCCCGGGCCGGGCAGGGCTATGGCCCAGCCTCCCGAGGAGTCCCCGGCGGAGGGTGTCCCGCGGGAAGGCCTCGGGGAGCACTTGGAGAGCGGAGGCAGCCCCGGCCGGCCCGAGCCGTACACTTCCCGCCCGCCTCAGTGGGGCCCCGGGCAGCCACCTTTTGAGGGCTTCGAGTCTGAACGAGACCCTTATCAGCCTCAGCAGTCGGAACCAGGATCAGTTTCCTATCAATACCAGGGGGTAAGGCGAAGGAGTCAGCCACAAGGACCTGACCAAGACCCCTACCAAGCACAAGACCAAAGAGGACGTGTCAGCCAGACCCATGCACCAGGAGAAGCACTGTATCAATCACGGACCCCAATTCAACACCTGTACGATCCACAGAGAGCAGAACAAGCCTCTTACAAGCTACAAGTGCCAGCAGTAGACATCAGCCAGAGATCCACACTGGTACAAGACTCTCATCAAGTACCCGAGGCAAGGCAAAGCATGTATCAGTCATATGCGCTAGGATTAGACCCTTTCCAAACACAGGAATCAAAAATTGCCTATCAGACATACGCAGTAGGACAAGATCCCTATCAAGCCTATGAACATGGGCATGGCCCCTCTCAGCCACATGAACCAGGTTATGGTCTTTATCAGCCAGGATACAATCCATATGATGATCAGATACCCCATCCCAAATCCCGAATGCTGGCAGTTGAGAATGCAAAAGCCTATTTACTGAAGAGCAGCACAACATCTGGCCTGAACTTGTAAGTCTGAAAAAAGGGACACAACTGAAAGGGGTAGGAAGTATGAGTGGAGAGAAAAGCAGTGTTGGTAAAAGGGCAAAGGGTCATACTAAGAAAGTGCGGGATACCAGGGGGCTATATATAGAAGGGGGGAACATGTTATAAATGCAATAGTTCATTGCTATGTGATACTTGTATGTGTCCAGTATATTTCTGAATCAGAATTCCTAAGGGAATTTATTACAGAGTTCAAAGGGAAATTGCTTTGATTAAGAGCAAGTTTAAAATCGGCTTCAGGTCCTGAGGCAGATACAGTGTATACCAAAAACGGAAGATGAGACTACTCCTAAGTGTATTACAAAATCAGGCTAGTTTCAAGACTAATTTCCCATAATACTCCATGATCCCCTTTCATCTAACTATTCCAACAATTTCTCCAAAGCTCTTGGTGATTAGTGTCTACTTTTGGTATCAAAAGCATAATATTCTAAGACTCTTTTATAGTAAGCCAATAACGGTTACATTTGTATGACAGATATGATCATCTTGCTAATATGCTTACAAAGATCCTGGATGAACAGCCCAAAAATGCAGTAGACATAATTGAGAATATCAGCAAGGATGTGAAGTGGGCTCACTTTTGGAAAAAAATGGACACTCTTCGAGATGAACATGAGATTCTTCCAACATTTGAAGCTGCAGAAAAGCATAAAGCTTTGTTCCTCAAGGCAAATGGAGAAGGAGATGAAGAACTAGAAGAAGAGATAGTGAGTTATTATCATAGAAAAACAGATATTGTATATACCAGGGAATGGGTGAGAGGATGGAGGGAAGGGAAAGAAGGGAGGAAGTTGTGGTCTCCTTTATAGTATTGCTTCTCATGATCATATAAATAATTGCAGCCACAGTACTATGCACGCTCTTCATAGTTGAGTTGGTCCCATGTCTAGTTGTGAAGAAAAAAAAAAATCTGATTACTTAGTTGGGATTTTTTCCTGTAGTAAATCTAATATCCTGAGCCTTTAAAATCCTAGATGTTCCAGAGATGATGAACAAAAAATAAAGTTTACAGTATTTCCCATATGCCAGTTCAGCAGGAAATATTGCATCTAAATTTCTTTTATCTAAAAGTAACATTTCTTTACCTAAAGTGACCATAATTCTGGACATCAGTTCAAGAATATTGTGCACAGCAGCTACTGTAAAATAGAGAATAGAGAATTTTGTGATCCTTCCAGCTCCAGATGTGGTTCCAGTATGTTCTTCTCCAACTAAAAAAAAAAAATATGGTTATAATGAAGAACTACTAGAATTGGAAAGCCTCTTAAAACAGGGTATTTTTCAGTATTCAGTTGCTTATTTGCAGAAGCATTCATACCCAATGAAAAATTAAGACAATTCTTAAAATAACCAAGGGAAACTAATCAACAAGATGTTGATTTTCATATGAAGATGCCAGTACATATTAAAAATTAATTGCCATTGCAGAATACAAATACTAACAGCAGAAAAGATAGTGTCTTTCATCTTTTTCCATATTACTTATTTTACAGTAACAGCATACGAAAGTAGAAACAGAAAAAAAAGTAAGGTATTTCAGAAAGGAATTTAGAAATTTTTTTATTCCTGTCTATCTTGCTTTCCTGTAAGAAACCTGGAAGGGCTAAAGAAATTCCATACAAAACTAGTACAACTTCCAAATTCCCTACCCTGCCATGTACAACTTCTAGTATCATTGTCTGTGTGATATAGTCACCTACCCCATGAAATGTGAGAAGGGTGATAAAGCGAATATAAATACTTAATGAAATCTTTGTTATTGGCGTAGTTCTTCTTCCACTGAAGACAGGTGGAGTCTTATTATGGACTTCAATAACAGCAGGGGCCAGTATTTTAAAAGATGCAAGGAGCTTTTTGTCAAGGTTTTCAAAAGAACATTTACTCCTGAGAAATTTTGCTGGTACAGTGTCTAAATATATAAAAGATGTGTTATGTTTTCCCCAAATGCATCTGCCACAAATACAAGGAAACACAGTGACACTGTTTGCAGGCATCAAGGCCTCTGACATAGCTGACGTCCTAGCACTGAAGTCCTTTGTAGATCCTGTGTAAGAATTATGATTTCACTTATTTTGCAGTAATTAGGAGTTTGAATTTGGAAATCCTGTATTTTAAAACCTGCAGTTCATCTGTGTTCTCTACCCGTAAAATGGTATTTTTAATTCTTCTCAATGATAGTGGAAGATGTAGTGAATGCATGTCTGCAGAGCACTTTGAGAGAATGAGTGGTGCTACAGGGAAGTGAAGTATAACATTCAGTGGATAACAGATTTAATTTTTCAAATAGATAATTATACTATTCTGCAGCTCTGACTCTGGATCTTCTTTCCCAGGGAGAGACCCCTCTACCTAATGTGATGGAAACAGCCTTTTATTTTGAACAGGCTGGTATTGGCTTGAGCAAAGACGAATCCTATCACATATTCCTTGCCCTTAAAAAACTAATTAGGGTTCAGCCAATCCAGATCTGTCGCTTTTGGGGCAAAATTTTGGGCCTGGAGATGAACTATATTATTGCTGAAGTACAGTACCATGAAGGGGAAGAGGAAGAGGAAACAGAAGAGGAAGAAGTTATTGAGGAAGGAGGGAAAGAGATAGGTGAAGTCGAAGATGAAAATGAGAATGAAAAAGAAGACAAACCACCAAAGTCCACCTATAAGCCCCCACCTGTCATCCCAAAAGAAGAAAATGGGACTGGGGCTAATAAATATGTCTACTTTGTCTGTAATGAGCCAGGCAAGCCCTGGGTGAAGTTGCCTCCAGTGACACCAGCTCAGATTGTCTGTGCCCGGAAAATCAAGAAGTTCTTCACTGGTAGGCTGGATGCTCCTGTTGTGAGCTTTCCTCCTTTCCCTGGAAATGAGGCCAATTACCTGCGTGCACAGATAGCTCGGATCTCAGCAGGAACCCAGGTCTCTCCCATTGGATTTTACCAGTTTGCAGAGGAGGAAGGAGAGGAAGAGGAGGAGGGGGGAGGGGGAAGAGACACATATGAAGAAAACCCTGATTTTCAGCCTCTTCCTGTGACTGAAATGGTGGATTCTCTCTCCACATGGGTACACCATGTACAGAGTATTCTAAAGCAGGTATGTTCTGGCATAGCTCACACTGACCTTGGATACCATTCACTCTGTAGTACTCGCAGGGTTTCAGAAGGTAAATATCTCTCCTCACCTGCACATTTGAGTGGGGAGATTGATGACACAGACTCCAATGTTAAGACTGAAGACCCTTTATTATTCAGAAGGCTGCGTTTTTATCCCCCTACAAAGTTGTCCATACCCCCAACATAAGTGCTCACCATACATTACTCACACACCTATTAAAACATTTGATTGGCTAGCTTAACTACACATGTCGTTTTTCCCTTCTCACTATAACTTGCTTTGTTACTTTTTTTGCTCCAGGTGTTCTTCCAAAGTTCTCTGTAGTTCACTGATAACTTCCTTATTTTTCTGTTATTCAAAAACCTTATTTTTCTGTTAATCCAAAACCTTCAAGGTCTGTTGTTACCTTATTTTTCCGTTATTCAGAAACCTTATTTTCCTGTTACTCACAAAACTTCAAGGTCTGTTGTGACCTTATTTTTCTGTTATTCAAGGTCTGTTGTTACCTTATGTTTCTGTTATTCAGAAACCTTATTTTTCTGTTATTAACAAACCTTCAAGGTTTGCTGTGACCTTATTTTTCTGTTATTCAAAACCTGTATTTTTCTTTTATTCAGAAGCCTCCAAGGGCATCATGGCCTTTGTTGATGTAAAATGTCTCCACATCTGAAATATTCACCAGAAATGGTATTGGATTGAAATATTTTTCTACAGAAAACATGTTTGATATAGTATATAGTATATAAATATGTTGTACATATTTACATATATATGTGTGTATATATATATATATATATTTAGGAACCTTCTAGGTTTAGTACTTTTTTCATGATGTGTTCTTGAGATCAAAACCTATCTTTAGGTAACAGTATGGAGTTAAGCCTTGATAGATAACAGTAGTTTATTTTAATTTTCTATACTAGGTTTTCTCTTTTGAAGTCTTGACAAAAATGTTTTAAATTCTCTTTTCTTGGGTAGGGTGCTAACATGCAGAGAGCTTATGATTGCGTGCTAAATGGATCCTATTTGATGTTTTCTTCTGGTTTGTTTTCTGTTGCTTCCTTTCTGCTGTGAAACATGCAAATGAAAAAGCTTAAAAGCTTGTGATATCAGGGTAGTGCTGAAAGAAGGTATTAATAATTTGATGATCATTGCTGGTTGACTTGCTGGCCAGTCTACCAATTCAAGAATGCTAGTGTAAAATAACAGCAAATGGTAGGAAATAAGGTTTAAAATTATTACCAGCAAAACAATAGTTGTAAAAATAAAATCTATGTGCAATAGAATTTTAAGAACATCTTGTTAGGTTCCTCTGGTAGCTAAATAACAAGGCAGACTTTAAAAGGAAGGGGCAAAGTCCATCAGTTAAGTGTCTTAGTTTGCAGTAACTGATCATCTAGCAAGAATATAAGTCAAACTGGCAAGCAACTGATGACTACAAACTAAAAAAAATCTTATGACAGACACATAACGTTATTCTGAAATAGTAAACAAGGATGAGGGAGGAATGAGGGATATAGGCAACACTCTGCCAAGAGGATTCAGTTCTGCCAACAATATACCAACTATGGAATATGTATTTTTTATTGTTCTTCCCTCCCCCTCCCTTAACTGGGTGTGCATGTGCCTGAGCCAATTGTTTTAAGTGGCTTGCATTCTTTCAGTGATTGTTACATGTATTTATTATATTGCTATATCAATTATAGGGTCGCTGTGTTTGGCTTAATCCTTTTCAAAAATCAGAGGAGGAAGAAGAAGAAGAAGAGGAAGAAGAGGAGAAAGCAGAGGATCCAGATGATCTACAGCAAGAAATAGGACCTCCTCTTCTCACTCCACTCTCTGAAGATGAAGGTATTAATGGAATATGAAGTTTTTGATAGAGAGCCATTAGGTATGTTGGCACTTAGGCAGTAACTATTTGAAGTTGTAGGACTCTGATGTTTCATGGAGCAATATAGTTTGTCCTTGTAGGGTAAGCACATTCTTTTACAAAATGGATCAAGAGCAAAATGGTTAACAATATTGACATAAAATCTGAAATAATTTGGTTTTCTAGTTAACAGTCATCTTGAGAATAAAGGATAAAAATACCTCAGACTTGTCAGGCTCCTGCAAGTTCAAGACAACTCATTACATTAAATACATTCAGCTGTTTTTTCATCATCTTTTTAGGCAAAAATAAGTGTGTGTGCACATATAAATAAATAGATATATACGTACACACATGCATAGATACACCAATAAGAATTTAGATCCTGTAGCATATTACTGCAGCAAAGCATGGGAATATGGGAACCTGAATATTAGATTACATCATTGGTAAATTATTTTCTTACTCTCTGTTCTTTAATCAAGGTGAAATGTAACTATATAATTTATCCATAAGTGATAAAAAGTCCTTGACAAAAGAAACAGTGGTGAGTGCTACGGAATTTCAGGAGCATGATCTTTTCTGTACGTGGCTCTGTTAGCATTCCTGTGCTACCTACCCCAATATACAAACCACCTGTTTGAATACAGCCCCTACATTTATTGTTTATGACTTCTGCCTCTTCTGTCATGCAACTGAATATAACCATTGCTTGAATGCTGTGAAAGTCTTGCTGCTCAGTCTTAAATATTTTGCAGAGGCTCATAAGTCTATTTATTCATAGACTCTGTGTTTGGCTCCCTCCAGGAATTCAAAACATCCCTGCCTGGACAGCTCAGCCTTCTACAAACCTGATCCCGCAACACGCTGTTGCAGTCCTCCAGTCTAACCGATGGCCCGGAGCATATGCCTTTGCATCTGGCAGGTGAGTAGCTAGCTGACATGGTTACAACACAGACTGTATATGCTAAACACAGACACTTGTCTAATGAAGTCAAAGTTGCTTTATTTTTAATTCATTGACTGAATTCTAACTATTCCGTAGACTGGCGGAGAAAGCCACTCAAATGTGCACAGTAACAGTAAATAAGTATTTAAGACTGACAGTGAACGATCATTGGAAAGGCTGGTATAAAGTTAATGGATGTAAGTGTCCAGTTAGTGTTTGTGCTGAGTCCTTGATTTAAAACCTCTATTCCTGAGTCTGTTGTACTTTTTAAAAAACAGCTACATGCTGTGGCTCTAAGGTCCATTTGTTTCCCCTTCACAGGGTACAGGCATTACCCCTCTGTGCTTTTAAATGAGCACTGGAGTTGGTGTCAGAAACGGTGCTATGTTACCAATGTGAAGTTGGAGTCATAGTGCAATACAGTGCTGTGACAGAGTACAGCCTTCATCATTTTAGCATTTGGAGGCTTTTAAGTGGAAGATATCTTAATCAACAGTTACAGCAGGTAAAATGAGGTGCTGCAGCACAGTGACTTTTTGCACAGCAGAGTAAAGAAGCCTGACAGTATCTCCACTGATGGTTTGTCATGGGGAGAACGTGTCATCTTTCACTTTTCTTTCTCAGGAAATTTGATAACATCTACTTTGGCTGGGGTCACAAATACAGTCCAGAGAACCACACTCCCACACTGCCTCCACCAGCGCAAGCAGAATACCTCAGTGGGCCAGAAATCACCGAGACAAGAGACCCCACTCTGGAAGAGGAACTGGCTTTCAAGGCTGCGAAGGAAGCAGCCTTAGCTGCAGCTGAGGAAGATGAGGAAGAGGATGAGGAGGATGAGGATGAGGATTAAAATATGGGGAACATATATTTTTAAAGTTCAGACGTTAATAGAATCTTCAAGAAGTAGTCATTCATTAGTTGACCTTAAAAGAAATGCAATTGGAGCATGCCGCCTTCTTTGGCTTTCCATGGGCTCTCCTTTGCCTTCCCACTGCGCTGGGGTGAAGGCTGCATCACTTTCAATGGAGAACACCCCAACGAAGTAGCCCGTTTTTAGAAGGGTAGGCAAACATAGCCTGCTTCTGTGTCCTAAAATAATAGTGCTTTAAACTAATTAACTGCCATCCACCAAACGTTCACGCTGTTTTTCTAACTCGCACTTCAATACCTATATAAATTTTACTCAAAAAAAAAATTAAATGAACTTAATTACATAACCATGACACTTTTACGTGTGACAGCATACCCTAGAAAGTCAGGAGCCAGGTGACGGAGCTGCCCCCCCCCGCCGCAGCTCCGGCCGGCACCATGGCAGGGGGTGCGGCGGGAGGGCTCTGGGGCTGCTCAGCCAGCGATCCCTCACTACGCGCTCCCTGCTCCTCCCCCGACAGCCGTTGGCGAGTGGTACGCTCCGCCGCGGGGGTCTGCCCTTGCGCGGGCCAATAGGAAGCGGCCTCGGGAGGCGTTTAACGTTCGGTGGCGGCCGGGCTGCTCCGTTGCTCCTCTGGGTGCCGGCGGCCGCGGAAGAACCGGGCCCGGGCCCGGGCGTGCGGCCGTGGGGATGGCGGACGAGGGAGCCGTGACGGCGTGCGTGCGTGCGTGCGTGCGTGCGTGCGCGCGCGCGTGCGCGGCCGTTCATCGCCCGGTGAGGCGCTGCCCAGGCGGGAGGGCCGCGCCCGAGCCCCCCGGCCTGAGGGGAGGCTGCCCCGCGGCCTCGGCGTCCCGCCGCCGCCCTGGGTGTTGCCGTGCCCCCCCCCCGCGCTTTCGGCTGGGCCCCTGCGAGCGCCGCTACAGACCTACGGAAAAGGGGAGGCGGGGGCGCGAATGGTGGAGAAAGGAGAGAGCCGGGGCTGGCGAGCGCCGGCCTGGGGGGTAGAGACCCGTCGTAGGGGCAGAGTCCTAACCTAGGAAAGCTAACAGAACATAGCTTCTTTTAGAGAAAGTGCTCTAGAAGATAAAATGCCACTCCACTGGAAAAGCGAAAATACTATTTCCGAAGTGAATGGTACAAAAGTATTCAATTATGGTAAGAATATGAAAGCGATTCTTTTATTTTGATGCTTACGTGAAACTTTGTTACTGTACTGCTTGAACATAGCAACTAACATCAAGACCTTAGCTTTTTGCAATGTCTATGAACCCTTTTTCCAACGTCATAGTTTTGACGGAATGCCACTGGGGCACACAGGATTTCTGGTTTAGTCAGTACCAGGAACGTGCTTCTGAAGTCAGCTTCCCGGTGGACGTTGCTTTCTCTTTTCTGATTTATGCTGTAAAGCAGTTTTGGAACATGTGATCTGGATTATTTTCATATGAATTTCAGTTACAAATGGGCTAGATTAGGGCTAGTCCAGACCTTTTAAGGAGAAGAAGGTGGGGGAACCCAAAATGGAAAAGTGCCTAGTGTGTATGTTAGAGCCTCATAACTAACTGCTTTGCTTTGAGTCTCTTCATACTGATCCACTCTACTTGTTATCATGAATGTAGCCACTATGAAGATTTTTCCCAAATTATAGATTTAATAAAAGCATGCTGCAGGCAAGGAGTTTAGCCTGACAAGATAGATTATTTGCTTACAACCTTCATCTATAAACAAGCCATAATTGTTTTTAGGAATAAATGGGATGACTACTTAACTGTGTCAATCATTCTGAAGTTTTTTTTGACTTGTCTGTTTGTTCATTGTACCTTTCTTGGTTCTGGGTTTAATATTTCTTTTTAAAAAAAAGCTTGAGTTAGTAGTGTCACAATTGCACTTTGCTTTAATTATCCTACAAACAATCTGATTCCCCACTTATTGGATTTGAAATCAGCAATACTGAGTAAGGTGACAGGTTATTTTTGACTTGGCAATACAATGGATTCACGTGCTTTATTGCAATTTTACTTTTTTAAGATCGTGTCTTTCACTCAAGTGACAACACTCAGCAGTTATACGAAGGTGTAGCTGTTTCAATTATACAGTCAGCTCTGCAAGGTTATAATGGTAAGTTTTAAAACTGTGTTTAAACCCTATTTGCAGTGTATTCCATAAGTGATTAGTGAAATTTAACAATCTTTCTAGGCACAATTTTTGCTTATGGACAGACTGCTTCAGGGAAGATGTAGACAATGATGGGAAATGAAGATTCTGTGGGCATTATCCCTAAGGCAATTCAACATGTTTTCAAACTTATTTGTGAGATGAGCAATTTCATTAAACTGAAGTGACTGAAAGGACTAGTAATATTTGTGATTGTTACCTAAAACTTAATTTTTAGTATCAAGGAGCTTATGAAGGAAATAAATTTATATTAGACCATGTATTTATAATTGCTTTGCTAGCCTTGCAAAGATGAGTGGTTAAAAAAAAAAAAAGATAATGGGACTTTTAGTTGGAATCAAATCAGAACAGCACTGAGGGGGGGGTGGTTAAACTTGCGAATATACTAAACCTTGATTACCAGTATAAACAGATGTTCAGTCATTAATGTGGTAAATAAGGTTATGTGAAGCTTTGTGTTTATTCTCCAATTTTAAAACTTAAAAAAATTAACAGTAATAGAGACTTTTTAGTGGGGAGACTATGACACTAAATGTACCTATTTCAGGCTTTCAAAAGAATCTTAGGCTAATCGCTCAATGCTAATAGGAAGTAAGGAGAAGGTGTAAGTTAAAACAGTGATTTCTAAAATGTTACCTGCAGAGCACTTCCTTCTGCCTTGAGGATTTCAGGTAATCGTTATCAGTTACATGAAATGGTCACTGCCCCTTTGAGGAGGTGCAGAGTACCTTAGAGGGTCTACAAAAGTAACTAAACCCAAGAAGACTTTCCATGGTGCTGTAGGCCTTGAGTCCATTGTGCAGCCTTTCCTCACCCCAGTACTCCCTACCAAGGATGCAGGGGAAGAAGCAGCAGCAAAGTAAATTGAAGCAAGCAGAGAGGGAGGACTAGGTATGCATAAATGAAAGAGCCTAAGCAGGAGGAAATTAGATATGACAAGGGCATTTAAGTTCTAGAACTTTTGTCACGCTTCTGTAGGGCAGTTATCTTTTATAACCTACTAAAAGTGATATACCATTAATGCAGCTGGAATGAGGTAGGATAGAAGGAAAAAGGATTCTATATTGGTGGGTGCTAAAGCACAAAGAGAATGAGGGGGAAAGAAATCTGTGGAGTGATATCCGAACATACCTTTGAGTTAATACTTGTATTGAAAGGTGTTAATTGATTAGTCTGTTATTTTTTCCAGTTTTTTTTATGTTTTATTTGAACATTAGATTCCAGATAGAGAATTCTTGCTAAGGGTTTCTTATATGGAAATCTACAATGAAACCATTACAGATTTGCTTTGTGATAGCTGGAAAAGGAAACCTCTGGGAATTTGTGAGGGTGTTAATGTGAGTATTGTGTCTTCTTGGAGTAAAAGAAATTTAAAAAAAAAAAAAAACAACCTTTCAGAGGCATTTAGTTGAAAACAGTGTCAAATTGTGTAATTGTTATCTTCAAAATTAGCAGAAGGGCAGTCAATGTAATAGAATAACAACAGTGAAGCTGGGCTTGCTGTTGCTTGTTTATAAACATTTGTACATTTGTAAAAGTATACTTAATCCCCTAAGTTTTCCAGGGTAGTATATTTTATATAACTTTGACAGTGAATACTTAGGAGTTGTCTAGCTAATAAAACTTCTGTAAACATGTTGTTAAGCTTCTAGCTCAATGTGTTAGAAGCTTTCAACAGATGTATTGTTACTTTAATACCATCTTCATATCATCTACGAAGTTGATAACACTTCTACTGAAATCCTAGAATAGCCATCACACTAGAACTATTCAGTAAGATGATCAGGAGGAGAAAATAAGTCTATATTAATGCCATCTTCGGTTTGTTTATGTTGAGTTTTGTAGCAAATAATAAAAATTGGTGATTTGTTTTTTGTTTGGGCTTGTTTTTCTTTCAGTGCCCTAAATGTTCAGTGTTTTTGGAACTTGGGGAAAAAGGGAGGTTTATCAGTTGTGTCACTATGGCTTTACAACATTTCCTGAGTAATATACTCCTGGATTCGCTCAGAAAATATCCAGGATATTTCTCTTACCAGTTTTATTTTTAGGAAAATTTCTAGATCTCTGTTTGAATCTTGTGCCTTTAAGCTACAGTTCTGGTAAAGTCTAAACTTCCCCATTGCTTGCGTTCAGAGTAAAAACATGTTTGGCTGATGTTACTTCCTTTTAAGAAGGAAACAAGCTGGAATAAATACCATAATAATTGCTGGTAATGTTAACTTATGGAAGTGCATTTTAGAGTTCAGTAAAATTTATTACTGTTTTTGTTCTGAAGAGGAATACCTATGTGGAAGATGTGGTCGAAGAGGTGGTGGTTGCTTTGGAACAAGTTATGGAATGGATCAGAGAAGGATAAAGTTGGTTAACCAATGTCAGCTGATAGAAAAGCATTGATGAATGGGGTATCTCTAGAATTATGGGTTCTCTCTGAGATTATATCCAGAAATCAGTGTTTTTCAGGTAGCTTTAAAATTCTGATTTTTGTCTGTTATCTCTAGTTTATCAGAATATAAGCAGAGGTATTCTAATACTGCTTTTTGGCAGAAAATCGCCATTATGGAGAAACCAAAATGAATAAACACAGCAGTTGTTCTCACACTATCTTCAGAATGGTAAAAGCTGTTTCACTATTAGGAGGGGTTTTATTATTATTTTTAGAAATGACAAGTTTTATTGCACTTTTCTTCTAGGTCATTGAAAGCAGAGAACAAAGTGACCCTGCAGTTGCAAGCTGTGATGGAGCAGTGATGGTATCCCACTTGGTAAGCTCTACTCCGAGAAGTTACTAAATTCTCTACTTAAATGCCTATTTACTGTTGCCACTTTTTTGGGAGAATGTAACTTTATAACGATGTTACAAGTATGCTTTGTTGTTAACTTCTAGCAGACATTTCTTAAGCAGAAATAATGTTTCTGCTCATCAGTACAGAGAGAGATTCCTGGTGTGCTATCTAGAGGATATCTTCCCGCCAAAGGCAATTCTGACATGGGAACAGTTCCTAGACAACTCATGCTGGGTTGGGGAGTATTATGCCCTTCCCAGGAGTGTAAGGGGCTATTGTCAAGAGTGCTCTTGCATTTTGTTAAACACAGCTTCCCCTGCAATTAAATTGTTCCTGACCACACTGACAAGCCCAGCAAAATAACTTGCAAAGTGGGTAGCCTTAAGGCTTCTCTTTTAACAAAATAAATTGGAGTATAAGAGCATGTGGCCTACAGCTGAAATGGCCAGAAGATTAATTTTTTCAAAAGTAAGCCCACTTAGCATCTCTTTGGATTACTAGTATATGAAATATCCTAAGCTCAGGTGAACACACTGCTGATCCCTAGGGTAGCGCTTTGGTTTCCGAAGCCTCCTCTATCTAGCCTTTCCTTGATTCTCAGACAAGAATCCATATCAACTGGAGGAATAAAATCAATACGAAAGCATTCGAGGTTGCTAAAATCTGCATGAGCATTCTTACTCAGAATTGAGAATAGCATTAAGTCAATCACATTCATTGTGGAAATAGCCTTCTGCTCTGGCTTCATATGAAAAACCTCTGGGCTCTGAGTGTAAACAGTGCTCATGCAGTATCTGAGCAACCTCCTGCCCACATTTATTTTCTCACCATAGCTTATGGGATCTACTCTTCTTACAACACCACCCACCCTCCACCCTGTCTCTCCGTTCCAACTGACTTTATAGTAAGCTCTACTAACATGGGGGGATGTGGGAACAAAGAATTGGTGGTTAGCAAAATTGTAAACTGAATCTCAGTCTAGAGGGATGGTTGTGGGTAAATGAAGCAAGAGTGCAGAACACCCTGTTGGGAGTGTGAGAAGCTGCAGGTCAGAACAGCACCTGTGGAGCATGTGATGAGCAAGTGGTCAGTATACAGACTAGATCTGAAGGTTAGTAGGATGGGAAAAACAGAAATAAAGGATGCAAACAGGGGATAATAAATTGGAGGCTTGCATACAGGGTGGCAGCATTTGCACTTGGCAATGCTCCCCGTTCACAAACTGAAGTAAGTTTGTCATTATTCAGCGCATTGGACCGAGACTGGCAGGGGAGAGGGGGGGTTTTGGCCCTTTTGGTCTATTGCTGCTTGGTGAAGTTAGTACAAGCTTTTACCCTTCTGAAACAGAAACCAGTCAGAGCTACTTGCTCAGGCCAATCATTATGTGAAGCTATAAAGTTCTAGTTGACTTTGAACCAAATTCAGAGTGAGGCTTTTCCTCTGATATTTAATATCTTCCTTTCCTTATCCCCACAGTGACAGGCAAGCAGAGACATAGAGCTGGTTCAGGACAGGGTGCTAGATAATCTCATCTAGGCTTTCTTTCCCATGAAAGATTGGACCGGATGATCTGGGACTTTGTGAAGGTTCCTATGGCTTGAATCTGTTGTTAACACTTCTGTACTGAGAAACTGTTTTATCTTTCTGTTACTGAGGCTGGGGGGAATTGTACTGCAAGTCTGAAATACTGTGTAGGATGCTATGATAGAGTTCATATGAACTTACTCCACTGTCCTACGTAACTTGAAAGTATTGGTTGGTATGTGTGTAGTAGCTATGGATTACTTCCAATAATGACAGACCTGTTTATTTTAAATGTAACTTAGTTTATGAAATTCTTAGCAGAGACTTAGAATTAAGAGAATCTCAAACTAAATTGCTTCAGAACTAATCTGTGAAATATTTAATGAATTTGCAGAACTTGGTAGATTGATCTGGAAGGCAGTCAAAGAGCTAGTCAAACAGGATCTGAAGGTGAGTGTTAAATGAGGCTCTCCTGATGATCACTTCTGGTAATTAACCCTTATGAGAGACTATGATAGAAAGGAAATTTTGATCTATGTGCTGTTGTGTTACTTACTGTTTATAAATAATCCCTTTTCCCCTTGGTAGGGCAGGCTCTTCCCAAGAAAGTACTGAACATGCTGTAAAGTGCAAACAACTAATAGTGTGGCTTTTCTAGAACAACAGATCCAGCAACAGTCATGCACTGAACTAATAGAATTGAGATGAATCAGTAAAGATTCACCTATAGTAAATAAATCATTAGAAGCTTGTAGGGACTCATGTAAAGGTGAAGAGTGAATAGATGTCTCTAGCTAAAAGGAGGCTTGATTGTTAACAATGATAGCACGAAGCTGCACACATTATGCCTTTGTCATAAAATAAGTGATCTGGGAGGAACACAATATTCTCTCTTACAAGGAATGACTAACTTAAAAGCTGTATCTAAGGCTGGTATGTTATGCTTACACGTGTAAATATGGGCATTTGCAAAATTTAAACAGGAAACAAAAATAAAGTTCTTATTACCCCAGCTACTTGCTATGTAAAGATTGCTCATATTTATTTGTGATAGATTACTATCTTTTTTTGATGCATTTTAGCTATTATTAAAGGGTTTGATACTGAGTGCTGATGGGTCATAGTGCATTGTGGCACTTGATTTAATTCTTGGATAATCCTTCTGAGCATAACATAGCACAAAAGCTTGACAGGTTGCAAATGTATCTTAGTGTGGTTTTAAAGTAAAAAAAATAAACAATAACAGTATTTACTGTGTGATACCTAGGTGTCCGACTGAAGGAAGGCTGCAGTATAAACCAGAGCTTGTTCATTCTGGGTCAAGTTATCAAAACTTTGTGATGACCCTTCTGGGTAAGCACTTGTATTTGTATACGTGTTTTAAGATAAGTCGCTAATACACTAAGAAATTAAAATCTTTTATATCTAATCGTATTTTATGTAGGTAACTATTTCAAATAGCCTATTACCTCTAGAAAAGATATTTACTGTGGGGTTTTTTCTCCACAAAAATATGAATTTTCCTATTTTTTTTTTTTCTTCCTCCTTGTTCGTCAGCCTCACAAATTACAGAGATAGCAAGTTGACTTGAATTCTGCAGAATTCCCTTGGAGGAAATGCTAAGACAGTTATTATTGGCACAATTACTCCTGTTTCTTTTGATGAAATGCTCAGTACTCTTCAGGTAAAACTTCTCACCTTGTTTTAGGCAGTATTCTGACTCCGGGCTTCACTGTAGACAGATTGGAGGGGTGGAAAACGTAATCTGCTATATCTGTAGTCACTTGACTCTTCTAAAGGACCTCTGCGGACCTGGAAATATTGTTGTACACAGTATCTTTTCCCAGTTGTCATCTTGTGCTAAGTTGTCTAATGAACTTTCTGGCTGTTGGAGCAAAGCTCCTTCTCTCACCTTGCAGGCAGGAGATAACCTCTGTTTTCTCACTTTCCTTTTCCAAACACAGTTAGAACTACAAGTCTTTATTAATACAGGATGTTAGATGGGTCCTGCAGGAAAGGAATGTAATTGAATTATTCATGAACCATATTCTTTAGGTAGGATTGTCTTCCTTTTGGGTGGTCTTTTGAGCTTTTTATTAAATAAAAAAATAACTTCGTATATTTTTGATTAAATGTTGGGCTTTTTAGGTAATAATATCAAGCAAAGAAAACTTATATTTTTCAAAGCATAGAACACATGGAAAAATAAGCAAATGTAACTATTTGTGTCCTTGATTATATGTTGCTCTTTATTTAATAAACTGTCCCTTCAATTCTGTTGGGAAATATCAGATAGAATAAGTATTTTGATATATTAGTTCTCTTAACTGTTGCCCATGAGAAAATATTCTTGCAGTGTGCCAATACAGCCAAAAGAATGAAGAATACTCAGAAAGTCAATGAAGTACTTGACGATGATGCCTTTCGGAAGAGATATCGCAAAGAAATTCTGGATTTGAAAAAGCAGTTGGAGGAAGTATGTAATAAACTTATTAAAATTAATCTGTTCTTAGTACTGATAGCTATTTGGAAATATTCTGTTTTAAACCAAAGACAGTTAAATCTGGAGGGGTAGGTACACTGTTTAAAGTGATATTTGTCATTTCTGTTGAAAATAGAAATTGAAAAAGGTGAAGTTTAGAACAACTGATGATAGTCAACATATGTGTGTGAAAGCTAGCACTGAATGAGATCAACTAACTGAATTGCTTGCCTTCTCTAGGTTAACATATTTAAGAAATAATGTATCATGCCTTATAGGACACTTTAATATTGCTGCAGATCAAAAGGAGTCATTGATTACAATATAGATTGTAGAATATCAGTTACAGATTCCAACTTAATTCATATTATTCTTCCTTACTGATGTTTAACTTCAGTTTGAGTTGCAAGAAGTTGCAATTGCTTAAGATTGCTGGCAAAACTTATGTCATGTATAGGCAGAAGATACATTTAGAAAATGAACAGTAGTAACTTCCCAACAAATGGTGTAATCTCATGTGTTTGCCTTTTTCCAAAAATCTATGCAGTTAAGGAGTGATCTTGCAAATGTTGTTAGAGCATAGATCATAAAAGATAAAACACTGGAAAATGACGATTCTGAACATACTCCTTTTGGTGAATTAAAACATCAAAATATACTCTTTTTTACGAATAAGTCATAGGAAAGCTTGAGGAAAAGTGATTGACCTCTTTAAGAGAATTAATTTGCAGTATAAACTTGCAACTAGAACTGTGTTATAGTAATCTTGCCACTTCCTTCATTATTATACTTCTTGTCTTCTAACTTTCTGCAATAATTACTTTGTACAGAAGTTTACTGTTGCACAAGTCTGTCATTGAGGAGATTGATACAGACTCTGATGTTAAGATTGAAGACCCTTTATTCAGAAAGCTGTGTTTTTATCCCCCTACAAAGTTGTCCATACCTCCAACATAAGTGCTTACCATACATTACTCACACACCTATTATAACATTTGATTGGCTAGCTTAACTACACATCTTTTTTCCTTTGTCACTATAACTGGCTTTCTTGCTTGTTTTGCTCCGGGCGTTCTTCTGAAGTCCTCTGTTCACTAGTAACTGTCTTATTTTTCTGTTATTCAAAAACCTTATTTTTCTGTTATTCAAAACCCTTCAAGGGCATCATGACCTTCGTTGATGTAAAATGTCTCCACATGTCGTGGGTGTTTTGTTTAATTCTTTTTTGAGTCTTTCTCGGTCAGGAAATGTTTGAAGTCTAAAAGACCGATCCTCTTCCTTTTCTTCTCCATATGCTTTCCACTGACAAGAAAATAGGAATTTTACACTTAAAACCTGAGACCAGCTCTGTTAAGAATGAAATCATCATCATGGCATGAGAAAGTCATACCAAAGATACCCACATCAGAAGCATCATTCTTATTTTATAGGAATAAAGCTCTCTGATGGTAGTTCTCAAGTACTCCAGTTTGGGTTACACAAACTGATAAGCATATGGTTACATTGACATGTTTCTGTTCATTCGGTGGTTACTGGAATTGGAAGAGTCACACAAGGATTATTTACCTGATGGAGATACTTCAGAGATCTTTTTTAAAGAACCAACTACATATTTACCTTGAATAGCTGAAAATTCTGCCAACTACTGTAGGTGCTAACAAGAGTGTAAGCATTTGTCTCTAAATCTCTGGCCTGGAATGCATTTTGGGAAGGTTTTAAAAGATACTGCTAGCACAAACTACACAGGCTCTGAGCAGCACTGCAATGTCTTCTTTCCTGCCATAGGTACGTAGGAGCAATTTATTTCCAGACAGCGGTAAGTGCAAAGCACTAGTGTTTGTGTGGTGGGGTTTTGTTTTGGGGTTGGTCAGGTGGGTTTTGGGTGTTTTCAATTTCCAGCTATGGTTGAAAGATATTTCCTTTATCTACCAGCTTTTGTTTTTTATTATTCCCTCTATTTTGGTGTTCTGATAAATTAATTAAACTGATGTTTCCCCTTTCTGAAAGGAAAACAAGGTGCATATAGATCTACCTTTTATATAGAATTTCAAGCATTTTTTTGTTAATTATTGCTTGCTTGGAATGTTTCTGGATTTGGAGATTTCTCTGGTGATTGAACTGAAAAACGGGAACTTATTGCAACAGGTCTGTCTGAATTGAGCAGTCAAGGTTAGGGACAAAAAGATAAATGCTTTTAGAAAACCTAGTCATTAAACATTTTGTTTCCTGGGGAAGCTGATTTACAAAGCCTCAGGAAAGCTATCATAGTTTAGCAGAAAGACAAGATAGTGTTACTGAACTTTCTGTGCATGTGTCCCAGTCTACCCAAAGAAATGGCTTTTCTGAGGAAAATGTGCCCACCTGAAGTTCAGGCAGGACTCCAAATTCTTTAAGAATGCTATCAGGGTCACTTTAGGTCTGATGTGAGCTTATAACTGAAGTAGTTTGTCCTAAAATTTTCTAGTCTGATGATATTAACTCCGCCTTAACAAATGTAAGATTTAGCACTAGATACAAAAAGAAAAGTTAGTAAGTCACCAGTTTAACAAAAAAAAAAAAAAAAAAAAAAATTAATCATGCAAATGTTGTCTTAGCTTGGAATTTGATATTTTATATTTCTACAGAGAGATTGCTTGCAAAAAACATGTTTGTGGCTTTTTTTGGTGGGATTCCTTTTGATCTCTTGAATTCCTTAGGGAGAATGGACAGCTAATGCTGGTGCTCCCTTTCTGGCCTTTCCCGTGCAGGAGAAAAATCACACTTTTACAATCATGAGTTTCACTAGATGGCAGCATTTCAATGTTTCAACAGGAAATTACGTTCACCTAGTGATACTTACCAGACTACAAATCCCAACAAGGACGGCAAAAAAAGTATAAAACTTCCTTTTGTACAAAGGTCAGGAAATATAACAAGCTGTTTGAGATCTGTTGGTGAGTGACTATACTAATATATAGTTTTAAATGTTTCGTAGAATTGGTGTGGCAAATGTTCATAAAAACGGATTGCTAGATTGAAAAAAGTATTTATAGTTCGTTTTGCTTCCAAAATGTTAAGGTGCTTTGCAGAAGAACTTGAACTGATCAAGGTTGTTGGTTTGTTGTGGTTTTGTTTTTGTTTTTGTTTTTTTTTTTTTCCCACTGAAGAGAGGTATGTGACAACAAAGAATGACTGAGCTTCCTCTGCCTTGAGTGAGCACTTGGAGCACATTGTTGAAGTGCTCAGCACTTGCTAGTGCTAATAGAACCTTTCCCATAATTTTGTGTTGAGGCGTTGCATTTGGGAAAGCCTGGTACAGTAGAGGGACAGCGCAACCTAATTGTGTGTGGTATCTCATTTCTAACTTGGTATTTTTCACCTGTCAATGCAAAAAAGTTATGCTAAAACAGGCCCAATATTATATAGCCTTATAGACTATCATCAGAGGCATCCAAAAGGAACATCTGTTTACTAAAAAGGGATTTTAAGATACTGTCTTCCACAAATTAGAAAGGTGCATCTCAGTTACTGTTTGTGTAGGAAACTGCTATTTTGGTCTGTGCTTTATTTCTTTCTTTGTGTGCGTGTGCACGTCTCAGTTACAGGAGGAAAACCTACAGTGAAACATTTCAATGTCTTGAAACATAGTCTGTAACTCAGTCTGACTTTAAATCAAAAGAGATAATGATTTTTTATACTAGAACATAAAGATTTTTTCAGTTAAACTGCTTCAGAATGAGTCTGATTTGTTGAATCTGCAACCTTCAGGGAAACATTTTTGCTGCAACTTTTGTCAGGAAAAGCTGCTGAGGAAACATCATTTCTGGTTAAAAGCAGAGAAACTGAATAATGTGGTTTAAAATGTAGGACACTAAATTTGACCCAGTAATCTGAGCCGCAGCATGGATTTGAGCATCTCTAGGTAGCATTGGTTGCTAACCTAGGGGAGATGGGCATCTTTATCTTAACTTCTCAGTAACATGCTTATTATGTTGGATTCATGTATATATTTAAAGACTTCAGGTTCTTGGGACACCTTTTTATGCTCCTAGCTACATAAACAAATTTTGCTCTGTGGATGATAAAAGTACAGAAGGTTTTGCTTATTGGTAACCCAGTTAAAAAACACCACATAGTGCCTTAATGACCTTAATTTTTAGGCAGTTCTTCGAAATACCTTTGGTTGACTTCTTAAATAACCAAAAATCTGTAGGAGTGAGAGGATGGCATTTGCTTTTGCTTGTTTGCCTGCAACTTTACAGGCTGCATTTTTTTAAAACATCATGCAGCATTAGAAAGTATGTGCTTGGCAGAAGAGGGCCACATTTTGCCTTTAGGCTGCTACACGCTGAGTAAGGTGGAACCTAGATTCACCACTGCTTGCCCCAAGCATGCTCCCAGTTCCCTGAGAGCAAGCAACGCCTGAGAGGTGAGATAGGACAGAGCATCCTTCCTGCCCCCGCCCTCCTGCCTTGTTGGAGCTGGGAATCTGCTGTGCTAGAAGATTCCCAACACAATCCAGAGCAGACACTAAGGCCAGGGTGTTGTGTGGAATTTATTGCAGTCTAGGAAGTTGAGTTTCTTCTCTTCCTGTCAAGCTACAAAGACTTGCTTTCGAAGAACCCTATGGACAGTGAAAGCACTAGATTACAAGCTCTTGTACTTCTGTTCAGTTTCACCTTGATTTTTTTTTTTTTTCTGTTTAAGGAAAAGTAAGGTCTAGCTTCTGTTATAATAAAGCTTGGCTTGAACTCAAATACCTTTTGTTGAGATCCTTACTTACAGGAAAAAAAAAAGAGTGTAAGCAGCCCCCATCTCAGAACACTGGATCACTTGAGGTCATACTGCATCCAAACAGGACAATCTGTGAGAGGATTTGGTGGCAGAGGTGCTCTGAATCATGTCTGGGGTTTGGAACTCGTTTGCATGTCATTCCCGTGGAGCGTTGTTGGCTCATCTTTTTGTTGAAGATTCTGTGACATCTTCTGTCTGTGTAGGCCAGCAGCATGGGTCGGCTTGATGGGGAGATCATCCTACGGTCTGCAGCAGCACAGGGGATAGGACGAGCAGCTGCTATAGTAAGTTGGAAAATGTTTATTCTCCTGTACCAAAGTGAGGTCTCTAATGCTAACTTGTCCAATGACACCTGCACCAAACAAGTTCTTGAGTTAATAAACCATGGATGAAGCCAGAACAACCTGCTGAAAAATTTGGAGAATAATATAGTCACTCTACTGTATCATGCATGCTTTGTGCTGTTTGAATTTCTGAAAAACTTCAGCTCTGGGTGGTGATGTTTGGGCAAGGATGCTCTTGCAATGTTTGAGAACAGCTGCAACTGCTTTTCTAAAAATCTGTCATTGGAACTGTCTGTGCTTTTAATCCAGTATCTCTGCTGCTTTGTTCTGGGAGATGATAAGGAGAATAGAGAGAATATTTCCTGTTATAAAGCTGGATACTGCAAAAATCCCCTACAGTAAAGCCAAGATATTTTGATCTGTATTAATAATTGACATAACCAAGTCTATATGATACTAGCAGCATAGCTACAATGTTCATCATGAGTAAAAAAATAATTTACAAATTTTATTCAGTTACTGTTAAATGGAATTCAACATATGTATAAGTCTTCTGGTTACCTTTTTCCTTTTGACCAGTTCTTCCCCTGCTACTTCCTTCTTCCACAGCAAATAAAGGAACTAGTAGAGTTATCTCAGTATCTCTGTAATGTAATCAACAAGTTGGGAAAAGCTCCTGTAAGTAGGATTTTTGCCACACTAGATAGTTTCTCACGCATGCAGTTATGAATGCAGAAGACTGCAGATCTTCACACTTAATTTAAAACATCCGGTCCAAGGAGTAGGTAAATCTTCCTGATAATTTCACTCTGTAAATACCCAACCAAGCCACAGGGGGATGGCATGTTTAATGCCACTGTCCTCTTAAACTGCACTTTAGACACTTATTTTGAAGATTAGGGACTAGAGTCTGAGATGTCAGAATACTTTTGACACAGAGGTTACTTTGTTAGCATAGCTGTTGTTTTATCTGTAATCACAACACAGAGAAAGCAGGTTTTGAGGGGAGCATCAAGAATTAAGGAACACCTGGTTTAAGTATCAAAAGTTCTGCTGCTTTTAATATTGCTCTATTCCAATGATTTGAATGCAAAGTATTTTCATAAAGTTTATTTACCACTGTTCCTTTTCTACAACTCATGCTTTTACTGGTCAAATCCCGTAACTTCATTTAAACCTAACAGTACAGACAATTCTAGCCCTACATGTTTGTAATATGCTTGCTAGTCCACATGCAACTAAGTGCAATTATAATACCAGATGTCTTAGCCTGGTTACTGTTCTTACACTTCATTTATGGATTCCTTTAAGTAAAAGATCTAACATTTGTCTTGCGTATAGTTACTTAGTTGTCCTCAGGATGTGTGGTAATTGGTGTCTGTTACTCCCTGACATGACCAGAATGAAAAGTGAGAGATCAGCTGCCTTCAGCCAACTTTTATTTCAAGCCAAAAAGGAAATAAGAAGAAAACAGATTTTATTTCTGGTAACATCTGCAATATCTAAATATAAACTGCTTCTCTTACTTGTATTCTTCAGGCTTTTGCTAAAGAAGGAGCCAAAGTCATTGCTACAGACATCAATGAGTCTAAGCTGCAGGAACTGGAGAAATAGCCAGGTAAATGACCTACAGAAGGTATCAGTTCAATTCTTGCAAGTTTTGTTGTAGACTGGCTGAAATATAATTTGAGGATAGGGCAAACTTCGAAAGGCCAGAAAAAAGCAGAAAATATCCAGACTAATTCTTTAGATGTTGACATTGTTTTATTCTGTGGTGTGGAATGGTAAAGATTTAGCATGTAAAATACTGAAGCACCAGCAAATCAGACAGAGTATTTTTCCAAGCACGTGGAATAACTTTGAATTTCTTGTCTCATGGAAGCAGTTGACTTCTGCTTCCTAGAACAGCACCCATTTCAGTAACCTTTTGAGATCACTAGGCTAATTGTCAAACATATCTAAAAGGCATGGAAAGCTTTTCTCTGACCACAACTACTAACATCTGGCTACACAAAAAGTAGATTCAGGGTCTTGTATTTCCATGGTCCATACTTACATAGGAATGCATTAAAAGGATAGCTGTCTAGTAAAACTTGTATGTCTCCAGAAACTAATTCCACCAATGCTAGATAAGCCTATTCTCTTTGTACAAATGCTCAGGCCTGAAGGCTGCTTGCCTGCTGGTATCACAGGAACATACCTCAAGGAGCAGGTTTAGCACAGCTGTGTATCTTAATCATAAGTGACACAAGTGTGGGAAGCTATATTTAAAAATTACTTTCTTGGTCTTGAAATAAAAAAATAAGACTTGGATATATACTTTACAACTGAAAATGCTTCCAACTTAATTTGACAGAGGGAAGTGGACTTAATGAATTCCTCTTACAGGGTGACAGTCAAATATACAAAACCGCTTTTCTCTGGCACAGCTTTTAGAATGAACATTGGTCACTACTGACTGGAGTTCACCACAAGCAATCCTTTTGTAATTCTTTGCGAACTTTAGGACTTCCCAGGTTCATTCTGAGGCTGTTTAGGAAAGTGTTATGTTTTAAACTGCATTTTTTTCCCCTCTGCTCGCATGTTTGAAAGGAAAGAGGTAATTTCCCACATACACAGAGCTGTTCCTATCCTTTTGACGTGTGATTAGTTAAGCTATAATTCATCAAGGCTTGGTACATTATGGTCTTTGAATTTTATCCAGGAGGGGTAATTCCAGTGCTGATGTTAATCACTAGCCTGTAGTCTAATTGCATTGTTATACACAAATCTCTTCCAAAGTGTCTGTAGCATTTAACTAAGGCATATAAAGCCTGTTCACGGACTTGGCAGTTTGGCTTCAAAAGAAACAGGTTTTTATCCATTTCAAATCAAATTCTCCCATAATTTAGACATCACTTAGATGCTTTACAGACAGCTTTACAGTATTTCATAGAATCTTGAATGCTGGATGAGACCTCTTGAGGCCATTTAGTCCTGCCTACTGCTCAAAGTGGCTCTGGTTAGAGGAGGTTGCTCAGGGCTGTGTTGAGTCAGGGTCTGAACATCTCCGAGAATGAAAATTCCTCAACCTCTGTAGGCATCTGTTCCAGTGCAACTGCCCTCATGGTTTTAAAATAATGTTTTTTAAAAAACAAACACAAAAAAAAAAAACACGAAAACCCCAAACCAAACAAACAGCAACAAAAATCACCAAACCCTGCGGAAACAAGACATACCTTATAGTCAGTTAAACCTTCCCATGTTCCAACTTTTCTGTTGCCTTTCATCCTTCCACTGTGGGCCTCTGTGAAGTCTGGCTCAATCTCACCTACAGTCTCTCAATAGGTAGTTGTAGACACTTACTAGACTGTGTGTCACCAGTCGTACATGACTAAATTGTAAAAAATCTCATGTTTTGGGGCACAGGTATTTGGTGTCCTAGATGCTGGATATGCTGTGACCAGGCTGTGGCAAAAGGGTGATCAGCAGCAAGGCTTGGTGCCTTGGGAGCCTAATTGTAACTGCTAAGGAAATTACTGGAGTATACCCTGACTCCTTTTCCACTCATACAGGCTGCCTTTGGATGAGGAGTTCATGTATTTGAGAAGGCGGCACAGCTCATTCTTTACATACAATATGGAGTGAGGGTGCAGGCACAGTGTATCACAAAGTATGCCTGTTCCACAGTAAGGATTAAGCCTTGACGTGGGTGAGAAAAGCTAGTTGTGTTCAATTGCTAGAAGCTGCTTAAGCAAAATGGGGTAAAATAACATGTAGATTGTATCATATCATATTGCAGCTCACCTGGAAATGTAGTTCTTTTACTTTGCCCCTTTCACTTCTGTCCCAGGGATGGCACTGCTGTGGTTGGCCCTAAAGCAGTTCTGTTAGAGGGGCTGATTCTATCAAAAAGCATTTGGAAGATTTATGCCTGTCCCCGTTTTGCAGAAATTATGTGTCTCAATTGTTCAGAGATAACTTTCTGAGCAAAATAGAAGGATTTTTTTTTTTTAATCGATGTCTTTCTTGAAGGTGTGGCACAGGCACAGCTTCTGCTATAAGCACTGACAGTAACAGCTGTCAGAGGCTGAACTAGGTAGTCAGTTACAGTGAAAAGCAATGAGATTCCAAGCCTTCTTTTGTTTGATTATAAACAAGTTTACAAATACAATGCTTAGGTCTTTGCAATTAAATAATTGCTGTGATATCATTCTAAGTAATATAAGTGAATGGCTTATGAAAAATCACTTTTCCTCATTAATGAAATTTTATAAAGCTGATTCACAGTATCTTCAACTATACATAGATAGATGACATGTAATGTGACTGAGAGCGTATGTGACAAATGTAACTACTTCAAAGTAATTATTATTCTATAATAATGGGCATGAAAGCTTGTTAGGATTATCCAGGTTCTGTAGTTCTTCAGTTTCAGAGTAGAGTGGAATTCAAACTTATTGGAAATGTTCTTATGGTAAACCATGCTAGCTGATCTCTCTGTGATGCTGTATGACAATGAAATGGGTCGATCTTATTTTAATTCCCTTCTGAAATTTTAAATAGCATGACATGCTGTCCATTGTTGTCCCAGTTTAACCAGTGCACTGACTTGATGATTAAGCGTAGCTCTCACTCAGTGAGTCTGCATGTCTTGGTGCACCACTGAGGGGGACTATTCCTGGCAAGCCACTGACTTGAATTGTAGGTGCAATCCTCAGCACTTCAGCAGAATAAACTGCTGATTGTTAGCTAAATACAGTGAAGCAAATACCATGTTTTTCTAGGTATTCAAATATGCGTTCTGGATGTCACCAAAAAGGAGCAGATAGAAAATCTGGCCAAGGAGATTGAAAAGATTGACGTTCTCTGTAACGTTGCAGGGTAACCAGCTTCTGTTTGATCCTAGTATATTTCCAGTTTTCCCTGTCCTCCAGAAGTACTTTATTTTACTTAAATGCATTTTTGTTGTTGTTGTTCTAATGCATTTTATACCTTTAATACAAACTTTCATGTGTCTTCATCAAAACTGAGCTTTTTATGCGCAGCCATGTTACCCAGTCCAAGACAGAATGGCTCTGGAATGTGTGATGTCTTCTCCACTCTGGTGCCCTGTACTGATGGCTTTGGCCCTCCTAGCACAGTGAGTGAAGTTTATGATCTGTTAGTGCCCTACTTAGTTATTTATTTTATTTCCCTATTGCCAAGCATTTTTTTGTACATTTCAAGTCTGCCTGGTGTCCCTCGTACTCATCAGAAGAAATACACTGTTCCTTGCTTTCTTCAAAAGAGCTCTTGTCCCTCCTTTTCAAGGCTGGAAGAGTTAGCTGCTGCAAAATAGTAATGGGAAAACGTGCATAAAAAGCCACAGAAAAGTAAACCACAGAACCACAGACTAATCCATTTTATGCACTTATTCTAGGTTTGTTCATCACGGGACCATTCTGGAGTGTGAGGAGCAAGACTTGGGACTTCACTATGAACCTTAGTGTTCGCAGCATGGATCTAATGATCAAGACATTCCTTCCTAAGGTAAGGTTTGGTTGACTGTGATTTGTAGTCTCTGCTGCATTATTTCTAAAGTATGAGGGGTCTAAGTTGTTGCCACTGTGACAGCATGGGATTTGAGATAAATATGCAAGTATACATCTTTGGATAGGGGAGGCCCTCAGATTGTAGCGATCCTACTCTAAAACATTCACAGCATTGTATAATCCTTCAAGTAGACTATCTAAAGGATATGGTAGAGAAGATTAGTTCAGGGGTTTTGCCCTATGTCATTTGTAACTGAAATCATTCAAACACAGAGCAGTGAGGAAGCCATTGCAACAGTGTTATGTATACTGTAGCACACAGCTGCACAATACCACTGCTTTAAAAAAATATTTATAAATAATGTACATTAACGTGAATTTTATGGAACTCTGGAAACTATCATGTGAAGCAATTCAGTGCCGCTGATGCCAACCTGCTGGTTGTATCAGAACAATAATTCAGTTAGTCTAGCAGCCTGAGGACCCTTGTTGTGTTTGACGTACTAACTAGGTTCATGACCACAAAAACTTGTGGACTGAATAAGGTGTTTGTATTCCCATAAATGCAAAGGCCAGACATGGAAGTTGTGACTGTGACTGGATGATGACTACTCTTTTCAGTGTTGTTCCAGTCCTTTTTGTTTATTTGTTTTGGGCTTTTTTGGTGGTGTTTTTTCTTCACTGATACTCATTTTCAGAGGTTCTTTATAACAACTTTGGACATCTCGGGTTTTGGGATGCCTGAAAAGGTTATAACTTAAAGAAATTTAGCTACAGTTCAAAGATGCTAGAGGGTTGTGTTTTAGTCTTCTTCAAATCAAGAAGGGTTTGAATGGCATCAGTGAAACACTGCATCGGTAGCTGGCCTGAGCAGATGTCTATGTAGGGTAACTTACTGTGGTGACAAGAGGGCAATGATTCAGAGGTGACTGTCTAGGAAAAAAGTCCTTTCCTGTCATAGTCTTCACCCTTGAGATGACTTAGGAGAACTGAGTATGAATTTCAGATTCTGCTTTGCTACTGCAGTCAATGGATCAAAAGGAGCTAAGCACCTATTTATGCCAATTAAGTTTTGTTACCCTGCCTGTCAATTGCATGTAGGACTGTTCTCTGGTTTATTATGGGCTATTTTGCTGGACCTGCAGATGATAAAATAGTTTGCATTTGAATGACATAAGTATTATTTTTCAGATGCTTAAACAGAAATCTGGAAATATTATAAATATGTCTTCTGTGCCATCCTGCATTAAAGGTCAGTAGCTCGCTAGAGTTTCTTATATAAATCTTTAAAATGATGGGAATGCAAAATAAATTTTGCACAGCTTTGAATTGAGAGGACGTTGCCAATCCTATGGAGGGATGCAGTTAAAAAAAAAAAGTGAACACAACACAGCAAGGACACGGATAGAAAGATGCAGAAACACCAAGATACTTGCCTCTGAGCTCTTGAACCAGTCCTGAATATTTTGTAGCATCCTTTTTACCAGTTTGTATTAAATAAAAAGGAACTAGTTTCAGTGATATCTTGCTACATATGTTTTTCAGAGAAACAATGAAGAAATTATTTACGTAAGCACTGTAACTACGCTTCCCGAGGAAGCCTGATGGTGACTAACAGATGGGTCTCTGCTGTTCCTAAATCTTTTTTAACTTTTCTAGACTGGTCCCCAAAATTATACTACTGAAAGATCACGTGCTTTGCTCTCCTGAATGCCTGAGCAGAATTCTGATAGTCAGCATTCTAGTTAGCCCACCCTTCTGGAGAGACTTACAGGTGCTATAGGAAATGCTGGAGTCCAGCAGGAGCATATTGAACAAACCTGGTGCTCTTTTTTTTTTTCTCTCTTTTAAATATGTTTCTATACTGCCTCCACAAGGACCTTCTGTTAGGAGTTGTGAGCAGGTGTGTATATAGTGCTTCAAAATCAGCAGTTATTGGTCTAACAAAGTCTGTCGCTGCTGATTTCATTGAACAAGGCATCAGATGGAACTGCATATGTCCTGGTAAGTATTTTTACATTATTTTGTAAACTAGGAGCAGATGCTAGAAGGCCCAATTTTGTTAATAATGTCAAACTAAGGATAGACCTGCAAGTAGTAACTAAAGTTACCAGCAATCTAAAAGAACAGGACATGCTTGACACGCTTCTGAGATTTTAAATAAGAATTCATTACTTTTGTAGTTAAGCTGTATGTTTAATCTGTTAACCCAGCACATGGACATTATATATGCATTGCACAGTCTTTGAATGTTTATTTTCAAAGATACATTCTAGAAACAGGCAAGGGCTAGATAACAGGCTAGATAACAGCTATATGAAAAGCATTTAATTCTCAAAAGTCTTGACTTCTATTGAAATTTAGATTCCTATGCTATGTTGATAGTTTTTCAGTCTTTCTCCTAAATCATATTATGAGGTTACACAAGTGTTAAGACATACAAATAGAACCCATGAACTGCATTTTTTGTCATGATTGTTGATGCAATTGATTTTTTAACATTGAATTTAAAACTGTTTAGGAACTGTTCACACACCATCTTTATAGGAAAGAATCCAAGCCTGGCCTAACCCAGAACAAGTAAGAAAGCAATCCATTAGTTTGATCACGTATGTACATGTGTTTAACTCCCCTTTAAACAAATAAAATAAATATATAGTGGCACTTCTGCCCATATTCAAGAATGTCCCCTATTTCAGAGTACCAGTGATAATGTAACAGTAGTGTATCCATTGATAGTTTGGTCAGTTTGTACTCAAGACAGAAGTCTTAAAATGCCTCAGAAGGATATTACTGCTTAATGAATAGAGGGTCTGTCATCTGTGGAAGCATTTGAAACCATTAGTTGCAGTATCTGGTGCAAAAATAGAAGGTGTTTTCTACTGTGGCGTGTGACAGGCACAAACTAGTGCAAAACCACAATAGAAAGGGCATTCTGGCCTACACATTTAAAAATTATTTGGGATGCTTAGCCATATTGACTAGGTAACTGTAAGCCCTCATTGAAAGGGCCTGGAAATATCTAGCACCAAAGGAAGAAGGTCTTATGTTTGCTTTATTCTGGAACCAGAGGTTTAAGTCCAGTCTCTTACACTTTTTCATCCAATGTTAATCTTCAGGTTTCTTCCTAGCATAAATTCTCTGCTTAAGGGAATTATGACTTATGGCCTGTTTCCAATATTGCTTTGTACATGTCACACTGATCGGATTAAAATTGGGTTTTTTATTTTTGATATACCATGTGCTTTTGCATATCTAGGCACTGAAAGACTTTCTAGCCAGACAGAAGACTGGTAGGATGGCTACTGCTGAAGTGGCCCATCTCTTTGTGTACTTGGCCTCTAATGAAGTAAGTATGGAACAATAGAATTTCCTGACACAGAATTCCATGCTACTTTGCTGCTTCACAATAGAGAGAATTTGTTTTCAGAGGATTTATATTGTCTTTGAGCTGGATTATTACAAAAAAATAAAAAACAAAAAAACCTGACAATCTTTTTACATACAATTCTCAACATACAATACAAAAAATACTCTGAATGTTGACAGTGATTGTGAAGGCATTTATATATTTGGTACCGTACCCTGGTGTTTTATGTTATCTGAGCTATTTGACTGACTCCTAGATCATCCTGAGTGATACGAGAAATGGGCTTGTCTGCTTTTCCAAGTCTGCACCACAGCTAAATCATGTTTTAAGGAAACAGAATTAGTAGTCATCATCTGTCTTCTCTATTCAAGAGCAAATATTTGTGTAAAGCTGCTGCAGATTTTAGCTAAAAAGGCTAATGCTCAGAGGGAATCTACACTTTCAGCATAAGGAAAACAATAGACCCACTGAGGTGGTTGCACACCAAACTCTTAATGACCACTGCAAATACCATCAGCACTAATGAGCACACATCAAGGTTATCTCTGATGCTATAAATCTACCATGAATCTAAAATTGTGCTGGGTTTCTCTGGACTTGACAGGCAGTCCTACTGAGCATAACACAATACTTTAATGGAATTATTTCAGTCTTGATGTTGCTATCTATCTGTAATCTGTTCATTTCATCTTGGTTTTAGTATTTTTGTAAAGGTGGTATTTTCCAGTCTGCTCACAGGTTTTTCAACCATGTGCAGACAGATTTCCTGTTTTCCAAAATATTCCCGTATGCTTCAGTACTGACATAGAGAAGAACGCAAACAGTTCGGTTGCTTGCTTCATTATCTGCAAGATCTAAATTTTCAGCTAGGTCCCCTTATAATAATTAGCTGACCTGGTCAGATTCAGCTCAGCTGAACAGAGCTAATAATGTCACAGGGTGAGGTATTGTTCCTGCAGGTAAGATATCTGAAGTCTAGCTTCTGTGATTTTGTACACTCAGGATGCAGCCTCATCTTAATGTCTCTAATAAGACTTTTGCTACAGTCACCTGAGTTAGCTGAAAGGCTTCCATTTCTAAGTTTGCTAATATTCTATTTACACAGATTACTTTGCAAAACAACATAAAGTGTTTGTATAAAAAGAAATCAGCTTTTGAATTTAAGGAAGTGTTTTCCTTATGTAATTCTCGTGGCTGTTAAATTAGTTAAAATTCTTCTTACTTTTTATGTAATTTCAGTCTGACTACATGACTGGTAACGAACTAATGATTGATGGAGGATGGAGCTTGTGATTGACCCTACCTGCAAATGAAAATTTACACCATGAAAGGCAAAATTAGGATCGTGTTTCTCGGTTAAGATAGCTTGCAAGGATTTAGGTAACTCACATGCTGTCTTTCAAAACAAAATTGGTGCATTTTTAATGCTATATAATCTCTTTCTAGATTGATCTTACTGATTCACTCCCTAAATAATGAAATACTAGTGTAAAACATAATTCACGTGGCTTCAATTTATGGTAACTTCAAAACCATGAAAGAATAGCAATTCGGTGTTTAAGATTTCACAGGGCCAGGTTGGACGGGGCTGGGAGCAACCTGGTCTGGTGGAAGGTGTCCCTGCCCGTGGCAGGGGGGTTGGAACTAGCTGGTCTTTAAGGCCCCTTCCAACCCAAACCATTCTGTGATTCTAGGGCAAAGGTACAGAATCCAAGTTGTTTTAAGCAAATCTGGGTGAAAGGAATTAAATGCTACCTTTATTCTCATCCTCCAAAGTATTTGGAAGCTAAACATTCACAATTAGATTTCCTACCAGCACTGACAGACTATCCAGAGAAAATGGAGCCACTACTGTTAAATCAGCCAAATGGATCCTGAGCTAAGTGCAGTTTAAACAGAAGAAAGCAGAAATAATATCAAATTTGAAGATGGGAATGTTTGAATCATTTTGTTACTGGTAATAGATGTTTTTGTATTAGAGAATAGTTGCAATTTGTACTCGAAAACACATTCTGCTTTACAAATTACAACGTAAGATCTTTCTGCTCTATACTATCATTAGCAAAATGTTTTGGAACTGTAATAGCTGTAGAAAAAGAGCCTGAATTGCTGAAAAGAATATGTCCCAAGCCTGACACCACTTACAGATCCAAAGTGGGCAGTGCAAGACAGTCACACACTGTAGATACACGGTGTATGGGCACATGAAACTTCCTGCACATACAGCCAAGCATCAGTGTACATGCACAGCTGGTCTGTGCAACTGCAATGTCCTTCTTCCAGATCCTGGGCAAGTTAGGCTGTTGGAATCTGGAACAGCAGCAGTGCAAAAGTCAGGGCAACAGATTGCTATTAGAAGCAGTAGGATTGGTCACTTTGGAGTTTAGGAGGGGTTTTTTTGTTTAAGCACATACCACTGTAGACAGTGTCTTCGTGAAGCAGAAATGGAGAGGAGCCTGATCTAATGGTTAAGACTGCAGCTCGTAGCATGTAGAGAGCAGAAAGAATCACACGTAGTTTTACAATTGGTTAGAAAACAAGTACATTAGTACAAAATAGGCCCTAGTGGGAGAAAGAGACCAGAACTGTTTTATTAATGGTACAGATCACTCCTAAAATGGTCTTGGAAGTATCATTGCTATAGTTTGGTTGTTTGTTGGGGTGTTTTGGTTTTTTGTTGTGGTTTTTTTTTTTTTCCCCCTCTTCTATATACAGAAAGTACTATGCAAGGATATTACTACGTTAGGCATGGAGGGGGCTATATGTGGGAGATGTATTCTTAAATACACAGGTGGATCTTCATGAATATGTTTGACTTCTGGTACACAAGCAGAAGTAGTGGGTTTTACCACTCTAGATAGAGCCAATATATTCCTCTTCAAAAGGATGTACTAATATTGGACAAATAGTCAAATCTGTACACTAGGTGCTAGCCTTTGTTATTCTATTGCTTGATTCTCAAATATCAACACAGTGGTTCACGCTAAAAAGACAAGATTCAGTTTCTCTGAAAAGGATTGTTTCTACAAGAGCTTGTGTTGATGTTTTTATTGTGATAGCACATGGTAGCTTTGATTTATGAATCGGAAACCTATTATTGTAAAGTCTCATATTCTTGGAAAAAAATATAGATCCTGACCCAGAGATCTAAAGCAATTAATAACCTGAATTGGAAAATTATTTGTGGTGTTTAACATACTGTTAAAATTGACATGAGTGACATGAGTTGACTGCCTATAACTATGGTTACCTTAAATTGCAGACAGCTCCATTTACCTTGTTTGTGAATAAAGCTGTATGTCACTTCAGATATATTCATGTATATTAAATACATATATATGTGGGGAGAGGAATTCAAGAATAAATGCAATTGAGTATGACTGATCAGTAATCAGAAAGCACAGGGAAAATGTGCGATATTTTATGCATGCTTCTGTAACAATTGCCATATTTTTAAAACTACTGTTTAAGCCTTACAATATTAGCTGAAGCACTGACATCAATCATTCAATTTCAAAGATAATGGAACATGTCTAGTTAAAATCAGGCTTCTTATTTTAAAATTGTAAGTAAATGTAACTTTTACAAATGAAAAAGTATTGTGGATCTTGGCTCCCTTGGGCTTATTATGGGTTTAACTTTTAATCATGGTTGGAGCGTTCTGATCTTGCATAGTTTGTTTGTGGGGGTTTGAGTATCTAGTATTTCAATGACATGACCCTGGCAGCCAAGCAGGATCAAGCTGAGACAGAAATCCAAAGTTAGGCAAAATTGTTCCACCAGTGGTCACTGATGTAAATTCAAGTGTTAAAAGTTCAGGCTGGCAGGATACTGTTTCAGTGGTTTCTGAGTTTAAGATGAAGACCAAAGTCCTTCCTGTGTAGTAGGTGTAGAAGGCTTACCTTAAGAGTATCTCCCCACTGCAGTAACATGGGCAACTTGCACTGTGTATTCTGAAAATATAATTAAGAATCTGAGAAAAAAATCATTATACTTATTGCATATTGATTAGTTCACATTTCCAAGCTCACCAGTGATTGTAACATACAGATGCTGCTCAGAAATGGTGCTTTTTTTTATCAAAGCACTCCTGCAAGACAAGAAGGTATTATCTGCTTTTTACATTGCACTAAAAGCACAGATGTGGATTTTTCAGTGGTAGTTTGAGAAGGTGGTGGACCGGGGAGGGGGGGAGAAATATCAGTGGAGGTTGCTGTCTCTTGCCTTATTAGCAATGCTTTTAATGGGTGTTGTTAACAGCTGCAACTCTGAAATGTGTGCTAATTGATGTCTAGGGCTCTTCCAGACTTGCTGGAATTATTAAAGGCAAATGCTGCTTAATGCTCTTCTGACCTCTCAAGGCCCTGGTCTGTTTTTCATTGAACTGGGTAATTCTGTTTGGTTTTGCTTCCATACCAGTGATAATCTGAAGAAAGGTTTTTTGACTTTATTGATTCTAGGTCAAACTTTTTTCTTGGGGGGAGGAGGGAAGAGACTTTCCTGATTCAGAGTTCTTCTGGAAAATTTAATCTGATCAAAAGCTTTTTTCTCACAGATTTGTAGTCAGTTTAATTCAGGGTAATTCTACTAGGAATACCGTAGCACTGTGGTGCATCTGAATATGCTTTCACCTGCACCCAGCGCTTGCAAAATGAGGTTGAGAGAGAAGGTCTGGCTCCTGCCTTCCTGTACGCTAAGAGATGAGGTGGATACACTTGATTCCCTCAAGAAGTAGAAATGGCGTGATGAGAACAGCGCAACTATGCCCATTTGTTTTGTTTGGGGTTTTATGTGCCATGTACCCAGAGCAGAAAAACTAGTGCTCCCTACCCTAACCCCCCACCTGCAGTGCTGCAGCCTGGGTAAGAGGGGTGCGTGTAGCTTCCCCGCGTCCCTTCCCACGCCCACAGGAACGGCGACCTTTTTAATGGGTGCAGGGTGCAAGGAAATGCCCTGGGCAGCAGAAGGCTGCCTCGGTGAGACACAAAAAAAAATCCCCTTCCCCCTCATTTCTCGCCCTCCTGGGTGCTGTGGGCTCAGGGCCGGTCCGTTGCTCACCCGCCTCCCCCTCCCCGCCCCCCCCGACACCTGGCTGACAGCTGCGATCGCAGCCGCCCCTCACGCCGCCATCGCCCCGCAGCGACCCAGGCGGCGCCGGGGACGCCCTTTCGCTCTTCCCAAACTCCAGACGGAGTTTTTTTTGTTGCCGTCTGGGCGCGGCTGGGGCTCTGGAGGGACGGGCTGTGGCACCGGAGGAGGAGCCGGAGCTGCCGCTGGCGGGAGCGGGTGGTCAGCTCCAGCCCCGGGGCCGAGGGGGCCGGTTCCCGCCGGTGGGCGCCCGGCCCCGCCACCGGGGCTGTTGGCGGCAGGAGAGGTAACGGGGCGGGCGGCGAGCTGCGGGGGGAGGCCGGGAAGGAGGCTGCGTCAGGGCTTGCTTCTTGGGGATGAGGATGGGCGTGGTTGGGGTTGTCCTGTTATTTATTTTAATATTATTATGGCGCTGGTTGTGGTATTTCGGTTGTATTCCTTTCTGTACTATGTGTGAACAAAGCAGAACCTTGACAGCAGGGCAGTGGAGCTGATACCGTGGGCATGCACATGCTGCCCCTGTCAGTCATCTTTTCAGCTCTCCCTCTCTTTTCTCCTCTTTACCCCTTAAAAACAAGTAAAATGAGAGGATCTAATACAAACCTTTTTTGTTTCAAAATAAGGAGCGTATACTTTGCAGGGAGGTACTAAAATAAGTGCTACTGTCTGGTTTCCATGTGATTTCTGAATTGCTGATTTTGTTTGTTTAGGGGGTGATGTTTAGAAAACAAACCCACAAAAAAAAAAATAATTCCAAAACAAACAAACAAATACCATGAACCCAAAAAAGCTCCACTCTGATGTGAGTAAACTACTCACTTTGGTCTCATTAATCCAACTGGCCATGTCTTGAAAATAGCAGTATCAAGAACCTAACAGAGTAAAAGACCTGTCACAAAACAAGTAAGGACAGCGCCTGCGCTATCAGACTCTTCCTTCACATCTTGAAACCACTCCTACTAAGCAGAACATCCAACCTCCTCGCTTAGTCTTTTCTTTCCTATGTGCTACTTTGAACACTGCGTTCAGGAGCTGAAGGTGAGGTGGACTTGGGTTTCTCAGAAGCACTAACATATTTTGCGTCAATAGCTACGTGACCTTGAGAACTGGGATGTTGCCCGTGCAAAGGTGGATGGAGAGCAATGCCCTTCTGTTGCTTACTCACATGGACCCCTTTCAGAATGACTAGATTAAGTACGTATACCCTGGGGAAGTGGTGGAAGGAGGGAGGCACAGGTAGGCTGCTGATAGGTTTCTGTTCCAGTTAGTAGACTGGCATTGGTGGATTCCTAGCCCTGATGAAAGGATGAACAATTCTATGGAAGAAAACGCCAGAAGTGTCACTTATTTCAGTAAAAAACTTTGAGACCACAATTACTTTGTTCCACAAGTGGTAGCTATACATACAGAAAAGCATTGGAATTTGAGTAGATAAACACTTTACATTTAAAGAGGAAAGAAAGCAAAACTATTACCTTAGAACACACTGAACGCATTTGCTTATGGCTCTGTATTATTCTCCCTGCCTTGGCTCTATCTCTAGCCAGTTTCATATCAGAACAGCTCAAACAAAACCACCCAGATATTTATAATAGCCCCTGTCTTTGTTCATGGCATCAATCTTTCTCAAATATCAAACATATCATAATAGACTGAAGGCTTGGTAATTGTGAGAATCAGCTCTCTGACTTGCTTTCAGCAATTTAGCAAGAAAGGAATTTCTTGGCTCAAAAATTCCAGCTTGAGTAGTGTTTTACAGGGCCAGAACCAGACTTAAAGGAAACGCTGTTAGCATTGAAATGTAGCTGGTGGATAATATATGCACACCTTTGCTGTAACAGAGAAGACCAGTAGCAAGCCTTGTTTTCAGATATGCACATGCGACTCTTGCTGGCGCAGACTTATGAAACTACAGTAAATATTCACACCAAAAGAATTCTGACATACAGAACTGTACACTGCCATATTTCCTGTTAGCATCTATAGAACAAGTAGACCAGTTAAACTGAGTAAATACAATGATAATTACCCACAAACAACTTGGGCCTTCTTTCCCACTCTGAGAAGTATCTCCAGGAGATAAAAGCAATAAAAAAGAGCTATGTTTTATCAGCCTCACCCGAATCTAGAGTGCAAGTTGTACACAGTCTCAATCTTTATTCTAACAGGCATCTTCTGTTTCTTAGATATTCAGTCAGTGTGTTCGTGAATAGTGACACCTGACACAACTGTGTTCTTGAAAATTCCTCTGAAAATCAAGTTGGATCTGGTCAGGTTTAAGTTAAGGCAAAACTGTCCCCTTGTGTGTATGCTTTAGGAACTATAGTTGTTCTTAGCTTTATGAAATGGTCACTTGCACTGCCATGCACGCAGGGCCTGTGACCCTTTTAGAACTAATGGTCCCGATATGTGGTGTTGACAGCAAATAACCTTTATCTTGTGCTGCTAGGAGGCACAAAATATATATATATATATATATAAAAAACAGAGATACTTTTAAGGGGGAAATAACAGGTTAGTACAGATGACCATGATTCTGAAACTCTGATTTTTTAATTTTATTTTTTAGTGCTTGACTTTGTAAGCTTAATACTGTTCTGTTATTTTCTGTCTCTTGTTCTTACATACAGCATACGTAGGCTTGCAAAAAACATTAAATTCCAAATTGGACTGTGAGAGTTTTTTCACCTGATCTCCAAGGAAGGAGACAACATAACTTAGAAATCTTCTATCTGGAAAATAGTATTATTTGCTTCTCTAACTTTTCTATGTTTACTGCTTTCCTTAGGCTTTCAACAATGGTAAAGGAGGATACTGTAAATGACAGTGAAGACTCTGCGCCATCAGTATGTGAGAGAAATGGCATGATTCCCATGCATGAGCAAAGTGAGGTAATTAATTTGGATCTCAGAGTATAATTCTAGTCAGAGGTAACCCTCCTTTTTCTTTCCTTTTTCTTCCTACATCTGTTAAAATCCCTCCATCTGAAGGGAATACAAAGAGAAATCTCCTTAGTGGAAATTTCTTACAGTTAACAACTGTTCAGTTTTTAAAAGTCTGTAGTATGTCGGATTTCTGGAAATCAGTGGTTGCAACTTCAGCTTGAATTGGAAAATGCATCAGTGTATGTTTTACAATCAGCCATGGAAGAGAATTACATGGACTTAAGATTGCTTCTTTGCTTTCAAACTGTGCCTATCGGTCCACTTGATGAAAGTTGTTCATGCATGTCTTCCTTTTCTTATCTAGTAAAAATAATAAACCCCAGTTTTAAAGTTCTGTGTGGATATTTCCAGTTTTCTTGGAAACCTCTATGGCTTTAAAAAAACATATGCAGTAAATGCAAGTAAGAATTCAATTCTTATCATAAAATGCACTTTAGAGTAAACATATAGTATTGACTATAAAGGTAAGTACTGTATGGTGTATTTTTATGCACTTGGGTAGCTGGTGATCACAGAATCACAGGGTAGATAACTACACGCTGAAAGCTCACAAGATTTGTGTTCCAACTGTGACTCTGAGTAAGGGAGATATATATGAAGAGAGAGAGAGATGAGACAGAAAAATTATCAGAAATGTGGAACTATTACTGGAGGAGTGCCAAACCACAGTATAGGCAAGAATTCCATGCCCATGCTATGACAATGAGCTGACATGAAGGTGAATAATCATAAGGGAAGGTAGATGATTAACTTACCAAAATAAGGACTCTAAAATGAAGTGAGACACATAGCCAAAAATGGTCAAAATGTGCTTTGGTTATGAATATGGATAAATAGATGAATCAGTATAAGAGAACAGATTGAAGGAACCATTCTTCAAGGAAATAACTCCCTGGGTAGTATTTCTCCATCTCTACCTTGACTTGCCAGCTTGAGCTTTCCAGCAATGGATCATGTGAGTACTGCTTGCACTGGCCAGCTGTTCAGTTTCTTTCATCTTTGTCTAATCCTAGATAGATTTTGTTATTTTGGTTCAAGGCTTTGCAGCAGAAGTTATTGAGGAGTTATACTAAAGACAGCATCCCAGTGGAATGATGCTAGTCATTAACTGTATTGTGGAATCCTGCCTGGAAGCAGAACCTTACAAAATTGCAGAAAATATTAGTAACTATTTAGCTTGTATACAAGACAAGCTGAACCTGGCCTGTTAATGTTTCTTCATCAAATATGCTGATACTGTTGCTGTGAATGGGTGTTGTTTGTATTGGGACAGGAGTCTTGTCGTTTGCAAATAAAAAGGCAGATGTCCCGCAGTCTCTCATATACAGTCCTTTGTGCCATCTGAAAACAAACACGTAACCAAAAGTCCCCAATTTACTCTAAAGTTGTTAATGTAATCATCTGTAGACAGTGTGGACCTAGTGCATCACAGCTGATTTCAGGTCTTGTACACTACTTCTGAGAGAGTCTCATTGTTTTCATTCAGGAGGGACCAACAGTGGATGCCAAAGTTACTGGTGGGAATATACAAACAGAAGAAACTGCTCTTTTGAATCATTTTGCTCAGCAACCTCCGGAACCAGTAGCAGGGCCTTCAGTACCTGCAAGAACATGGAGGCAAATATTTACTTGCCCTCCTCAGGGTTTACTGGCCCAAACAGTGACAAATGGTATGTAATAAAAATTAAAGTGCAAAATGGCAAATGAAGTACTTCTTTCTCTGGACATGATGATATCTGTCCATTGTCCTTGAAAATACTGAAAGGAAATAGCTATGTTTTTCATATCATGCTTTTGTTTCAGTGTTTTAGCAGAAGAAAAATAAATAAGGTGAAACAAAGATTTGAATGTATAGGTTTTGTTCCTCCATCCTCTCTTCTGTGTTTAACCTGGTAGGTATGTTTTTGCATTGCAAATTGTTTTCGTCAGAAGAAAGACCTCCTGAATCTCATCTTGGTAGTTAGTTTTGGTACGAGAGCATTAAGTTGATTATAAAACAGTGGTATGTTTGTCATGCCGGATGGATTTTTGTTGAATTAAGACAACAAATATGAGACTTTGCAGTGATGCCTTCTTTTGTTCCTTAATACCCAAGGGTTGCTAGGCCAAGGATCCTAAGTATAAGGCCAGCTGACCCATTCTGTTTAAGATTTGCCGTACACTGAAGGCTCACAGAAGAGAATGCCTGGCTAACCGGTTATTTCAGACTTTTCCTAGCAGAAGACATTTCCTGTGGCTTTGACTGCTTCCACAGCGTCTGTTCTCTCTCACTTGGCTTTTGTGTTTGGAAATATACTGGTCTTCCCTTTGCCACCTGTCACCCTCAAATAAGATTAAGAAAAATCCAATCTGCAAATGTAATATATTTTCTTATAATTATGAGAAGAGAGGTTTATTCAACACATTTTTTCCCTCTCCTTCAGTCTTCTGCTTTTATGTCTATGCATGCCTGTTCTTGCTGGATAACAGTAGGGACAGATTTGGGAGCCCAGAAAGAGCATAATATTTTCACATATTTTATAATATTTTCACTTAACCTTCTCTAATGTTTTCCTCCTTCATAATTTTTTTTCCTTGCATATTATCCCTCTTTGATTGCTGTATTAAGGGAAGTGTCTGTATTGCTTCAGGCTGTCCAGAGACATGAACTTCTTCAAATTTTTTTCTCCAGGGATATCAATATATTGCACAAGCACATCCAGCCAAAAAATTATACTTAAATTCTTTTAAAAATTAGACTACAGATTAGGCTGTACAGCAGCAGGTTCTTACTGCAGTTCTGAAATAGCTGAAGGAAGATAAGCAAATGTAAGGTAAGTTAGTGAAAGTCTTTGCTTTAAGTTTGGGACCTGTTAAGTGCTTTCTGCAGTGGCCCAAGACTCACTTCATACTTTTTGGTCCCTAATGGTGTTTCTGTTACCATTTTTAAAAGTATCTTAGCATCTAAAAAATCAGAACATCGGTTTAGGGAGCATCAAAGGTGAAAAACATTGTTATGATTAAACTAATCTTTAAGGTAAGTGATTTTATTTCTGAAAGTAATGTTACCTTTTTCATTAGTAGAAAACCAAATGTCATCTAATGGCAAAAAGAAGTTGTCCCTGAGAGATGATTAAATATGAATATTTCTTGTTTTGTTCCAGTTGCAACAGTGGTCCTGGTTTGGGCTGTGGTTTGGTCCATCACTGGGACTGAGTGTCTCCCAGGTGGAAATTTGTTTGGAATTCTGTTTCTTTATTTTTTTGCTGTCATTGGAGGTAAAATTTTTGGATTCATTAAAATACGAACACTACCCCCTGTCCCTGCTCTTCTGGGTAAGATATCCTTCCTTTTTTACTTCCTGCATATTTGTATTGTTTAATCTGTCATGTTGTATCGGCGCTCTAGGGGTGTTTGCATTGGGAACAGACAGACTGCATCATGCTCAAAATCTGTAGCTTTTCCAAGTGACTTTTACCTGGTCCTCTCCGAGAAGGTGCAAAATTCCCCAAACTGTCTCAGGTGAAATTGCCTGTATGTTATTAAGGCGCTCAATTCTCTAGGGGACAGAGAACTGTATACCTACAGATGCAAAGTTTACTGTCCTTCAGTTCCCTCTGTCACAGTTACTTAACATTTGGGTTTAATACCACAAGACAGAAGCCTTAATCTAGACCTACTGTTACAGTAGAATAATTAATTCATAAGGAAATTATTGCTGAGGTGTTTTGCATGTATCTTGCACAATGAAAATGTTTTCCAAAGAAAACACTACAGGAATTCCCAGCTACTGGTAATCCAGATCAATTTATTTCTTTTTCCTTTATCTCAAGGTAACTGAAACCTGAGGAAATAAATTTACCACAAGGAATAATTCTCTGAAGAGAGTTATTTTGAATCAACCATAACATTGTTTTTCATATCAGCATCTTATTTTATTTTACATAAACATGCAAAATAGACATGGGAGATGAAAATTCCGTTGATTCTGACATCATCAGAACCTCTTCAGACTTCTTTCCTAGAGGAGGTTTTGGTTAGATCAGTACAATATTGCAAAGTGCTGTGGTGTCAACAAAGTTGAAAAATGAAGCTCCAGGTTCTTCTCACCTGCTGTATACTGCCCCCTTACTATGCTTAGCACGTAAAGGAGTAAAGCTGCTGACAGACAGTAGAACTTCATGGCAGAGTGGGCTACATATATCTGCCTGTAGTGCAGGGATGTGATTTTGTAACCTGCATAGCCGGTGGAGTGCCTCACGCAGTAGCACTGCTTACCGAGGGGCTAGATAGCTTCATAAAAGGCTCTGTCCAGGCAGCATGCGCCTTCTTGCACCACTTAGTTTCACGAGCAAGACAAAATTCAAATGAGAGGGCGGGAAATTTTGCATATAGCATGCATGCCTGCAATAATATACAAGTACAGAATGTAACACACAGGGAATCTGCTGTTTCTAAGTAAACAGCCCCCTTAAACAAAACCAAACCAAACCAAAAACCAACAAACAAAAAACCTCCAACTTTCTGACCATTTGGATTCTGCTTTCTTTTAATTACATCTGTATCTAAGAATTATGAGTTGAGCATGAAACTGCTTGTCGGACAGGTAGTACTGAGCAACAGAAACTTAAGCATGACAGCACATGTCTGTTGAGTTGGAGTTCATTGTTCAGATCCCCAGTCTGAGAAAAATTGGAGACATCTACGAGTCAGAAGAAGAGATAGACAGTGTCTTTGACTATTCTTTTTTACACTAACAATACAAATCTTGTACTCTTACATGCCTTTAATCCACTTGTGCTAGGTGCAGTAGAGTGTAATGTGGCTAGCTGAGCACTTACGCACATTATAGTGAGCCTCTCTCTCATGAAAAAAGGAGTGAAATTGCTCCTGAAACAATCGCATAGTGTATTTTAGGTATACATTGCACAGAGGTTTCTGCAGCAGGCAGCATGGAGCAGAACAGTGAAGCTATCCCTTGAGGTGGAGTTTTTTTGCTTTTCTAAGTAGATTTCTGGATCAGGGTAGCTCCAGTGACTTGGACCTCATGCAGACATTGCAAAGAGCATGTGATCATTATGCTAGCCTGATAGAAATGTCGTGAGATACCACATATTAATTATGCTACTTTTTTTTTTTCTGGGAGGTGGTGGGAAGAACAATGTCTGAAAGTTTAGTGTGTTCTAGGACAGATTAAGTCCACAGCCAAGGCTCACACCAAGCGAGGACCAACCTAAGCACAGTGTTTGTTTACTTTTTCTCTTTTTTTGGTTTCCTGTTTCTTAAGAAGACTAATACACATTTTTGTGGCATAATTTTATCCTTGAATCATCAGGACCTACAATGAATCTCTGCAGATCTATATTTAAATTCAACTTTACTGTACTTTTCTGTATCCTTCCAGAACAACAGTTCCAATAGATTTGCAGGAAATCTCCGATTAGACAGTTTTGCTAATATTTGCAAAAGGTTGGATCTTGTAGGTAGCTCAAATAGAGGATAAGACCAAGTTCCTGATTTATTCCCTCTTTTTTCCCCCTCTGCATAGGAGTCATATTGCCAGAGCATTTTGAAATGTCTAAGTTAGCCCATGATTAGCTGTTTTAGATTGTATTTCCCAGTGAATTCAGCATTATGGCTCCTGTAATACCTGCATTTCTTACACCTAATAAGATTTTTAACAATTTCCACCTTCTGAGATAAATACGTGATATTAGGTTATCTTCCTCTTTTCATGTTAAAACAAGCTAACAAGAAAAATATCTTTAAGAATGCAGAGGTGTCTTTGTGTATGATAAGTATGACCTGCACCTGGTGAACAAAGCTGAATTATGTTGACTTGCACTAAAGCTACATGTCAGCATCCTGTGGGTTTATTCATTGGCGACGTGGTGTGTTCTTAGGCCATTTTCATTGGTTTAAACATGTCTCTGTTTCAATGCCTCAGTCCCCATTGTTGAAACATGGCTAATAATTCAGAACAGGAATTGTTTCTTTGTCTCTCATAAACACAAAATATGTTGTCTATTTTTAACAATGCTGTGCAAGGTTTTCTCATGCAGTAAAACGAATTCATTTGACAGGAGCTTATTTGCTTGCATTTAAGGGATGCTGCTTGCTGGCTTCCTAATCCGAAATACCCCGTTCATTAGTGACATTGTCCAGATAAACCTACGCTGGTCTGTAGCACTGAGGAATATTGCTCTGTCAATTATCTTGACCCGAGCGGGACTTGGCCTGGATCCAAAGGTATGACACCAGCCGTTTGTGAGGCAAAGTATACAACAGCCTGCAAAAAAAACCCTGAATAATTTGTTTTGTTAACAATATTGAACTGTTGAGTCTTAGAGGATCTGAAAATTAGATCATTACAGAAAGCAAAGTTTCTATTGTATAGTCACGTGTATGTTAATATTGGCAGTTGGATTTGTGGAGTAGATGAACAATCCCCAAAATACCTGAAGAAAAGTGATTTTATGACTATTTTCCCCTTGCCTTAAAGAAATTTCCTGAATTTTATGAGCAAAACATCTTTAGGATATGTGCTCCGTCATGGTCTGTCAGGAAGAGTTTATATTCCCCGACAAACTCCCTGTCAGTTTACACTGACAAACTAAAACAAGTAATGGAAGGAATCCCCAATCCTTGAAAGAGAATGTTCCTTGTGTTGGCAAAAATAAAAAAAAAACCCTCACCTAACCAAAAAATCCAAACCTGTGTGTCTTTTTCACTTTTTTAATTTCTTTTTTTTTTTTTTAGTCTTTGCCATTTTAATGCAAGTATATTAATTGCAAGGATGAGTCTTGCTGCACTACAGAAACAATGCTTCCCATCACAATGAAGCCCGTAATGCTCCTGTGTACAAAAAAATAGTCTTCCTCTGCACACTGTGAAAGGTGATGGTCCATAAATTAATGAAGGCAAGGTTTTGCTTGATCAAAAATAATCTGAAATAAAGCTGTACCATGTTGGCCCCTATCTGTTTAAACTTAAGAGATCACTTAAAGTTTGTCTAAAACTTAGGTCAAGTACAGCTAGTTCAGAGCAACTAAGCTGATTTTTCTTAACCAATTAAAACTAGGGAGTTGCCAGTGCTTCACATATTTAGGAAAATAGGGGTTTGTGATTCTTGAAAAATGCCTGGTTTCCTAGATTAGGATCATCTTTTTTTCCAAGACATTGAAGCATATATGAGCATGGACTGGGTGTTGGATGACCAGTTCTGTGAGACGGCTTTTCTTTCTATTCCGTGACAAATTTTTTTTGCCAAGGGAACTTCATCTTTGGCTCATTCTTCTCCCATGTGGCAATTGAAATTGTCATTTGGCTGCTGTATGTAGCAATGCTTTGATGCAGTTACAATTGTTTCTCATGTAATTTAATCTGTGAAGGCAGCGATGTCAGTTGCTCTGGTGATTCTCAGTCCTAATTATGTTGGGGTAAATTCTGCTGGTAAGAAAGTGCAACTCCTGGATTTTTTTATTTCCCCCCCTCCATGTCAAAATTAGAGACCTGTCCTAGCAGAGCCACATTTGTGACTAACTATTAAAGGCAGCCGTTGCAAGTAAATACTCTGGTTTAGAGCAATTTTTGAATAGAAGCTGCTGAGACAAATGGAATTTTATCTGCTCTGGATATCAAGTGAGAGGCAGCTGAAAGAGATGCTTGGCTCCTTGTGCCAAGTTTATGTAGTTCTACACTTTTCATGATTTGTTCATGGATTTGGGAATAAATTTTTGGGGGTGCTCATGCAATTCATGGGATTATAGCAAAATATTTTGTGGATGGAGCAAATGAACTCAAGTAACTGTGGGTAAGTCAGCTGTGTTTAGGGTGCACTTTTCAAATGGATCCCAGCTAGTCCAGCCTCTCACATTTAGTTTGCTCTGCACAAGAAGCCAAGCAGAATTTTCCGACACTCCTTCCTGTGCCATGCACAAACCTTGTTGAACCTAGATTCCGTGGGTTTCACTGCCACACTTGGAATTTTATATCCAAATCCAGTTGTGCTTGAGCCTATCTCTGGCTTAGGCCATGTAAAGCTGTCACATCCTGTACTGCAGCTCAGAGGGGATTCTTTTAACAAACCATATCAGATCACAAATGTATTTCCTCTCTGTAAAGCCAAGGGTACCAATACTAATGTCTGAATGTGCTTGTATTTTCCAGGCTCTTAAGAAGCTCAAAGCAGTCTGTTTACGGCTTTCTTTTGGACCGTGCATCTCAGAAACATGCACAGCTGCTGTTCTTGCCTACTTGTTCATGCATTTGCCATGGCAGTGGGGATTTATATTAGGGTAATGTACTCTCTCTTCTCCTGTATGAGGAAGGTGCCTGTTTTCATGCTACAGTTAAATGATCCAAGCGCAGTTAGTTCTCCACGCCAACTGGAGACCTCAGTTCAATGCCAGTTAGGAAGCTGTGCTTAGCCCCTGTGGTTGTTTGCTTACCATTCATGTCTGGCTCTGTGGCTAACTTAAAGGTCACATTTCCACGCTGTGGAGGAGTACTTGCATCATTGCTCTTCTGTGTTTGTGATCTGAGCACTTGAAGAAGGAAGGATGGTGCAATCCTTGAGTCTTTTACCACAACACAGGGGGCATTTAGGGACAGAAAACAATACCACAATTTGGAGACTCTTCATGCTGGAATTCAGAATTTCCTTGTAGAGATGCACATATGACAGTCTTTCTGTCACAAGTCAAGGGTAAGGATATGGCACGTTCTATTCGGGAGTAGAATCCTTGAAGAGGAAACCTTTTCCATCTAGTTCTATCTAATGGTCCAGACCCATACACTGGAGCAAGATGGATTAACTTCTCTACCACACACTGATTTGTATGAGAAGGAAGAGGGCTACTGAGTCCTAAGCATGTCTAGGCCAGGTTCCTAAATGGGGCAATCAAGGCATAAATCAGGGAGCATAACTGCCTTGCAGTGTGGACTCAAATCCTAGTCTGTGGAGCACTGTACTTTTAATCCTATTGAGTTGGGCATGAAGTAAGAGCTGATTACAAATCTGTATAGAAATATCCCTGCTTGTAATTAGCAGGGAAAGGTAAGGAAAATACCTTATGTACAGGTCTGTTAATTTGTACTTTAAAAGAATTGGGGTCAGAACGTTTTAAAGTTTTTTAGTTCAGTGCTTTTTAAGAGGCTGAACCTGTGTGTTTTCAGTTTTGTTCTAGGTGCAGTCTCCCCTGCTGTGGTGGTTCCCTCAATGCTGATTTTACAAGCTGGGGGATATGGGGTGGAGAAAGGCATCCCAACTTTGCTAATGGCAGCTGGGAGCATTGATGACATTATGGCTATCACAGGCTTCAACACTTGCCTTGGGATGGCTTTCTCTTCCGGTATGTTGGTTAATCTGTACATGGTGAAATCCAGAACAAACAGTAATATTTTTAAGAATGTGTGCTCTGTTATGACTGACTGGCTTGTAACTTAATGACATCTACTTATAAAATTCATGTATGGACTTGAATATTGAGAGGGAAATTACCCATGATCAAAAGTCTTGGTGTAACGTTGTCTGCTCTGAGTTGTGGGTCACGAGAACTTTCAGAGAACGTTTTTCCCTGTCTGCTCCCTTGGCTGCCAAGTCTGGTTCCTGCATGCCCAACATAATGCTTTCAAAATTCCCTGGGTTTGGCAATGTTCTTACAGTGGCTCTCTCTCTGGCTTCTCTGGCACACTTTCTTGGCATGAGCTTTCAGAGAGAGAAAGCTGCACTATCCAGTTCTTTCAGGCCCATAGGTTCCCTCCTGAACCCCTTTGCCCCCAAGTAATTTAAAGCAGACACTGTCCTGGAATCACCCTCATAGGTCGACAGTGTGGTTTATGTGTGAAGTGTCTGTGTATGGCTTACTGAACCTGTTTTTCTTTTGCCAAATAGGTTCTACTCTGTACAGTGTGCTCCGTGGAGTGCTGGAGGTTGCTGTTGGCATAGCAGCTGGGGGGATTCTGGGAATGTTTGTTCGATATTTCCCAAGCCACGATCAGGTAAAAACTCAGTAAAAAAAATAATTTATAAAATAGAGATTCTTTGCTAAGGTATGATGTTCTTAAGTTACTCATTTCCATGCTTCGTGTGAAGCTGTCTTTGGGGAAAGCTGTATAAAGCACTAACAGCTTCCAGGTTACAAAGCCTATCAAGTGAGGATGTGCTTTATAGGTGATTACTTGTTTACTGCAACAATAACAATGTATGATCTCATAGTCCTTACTGATGCAGACTTTGGAACACAGCTAACCATCCTGTTCTCACTACAGGTGGTAGAAATGTCTACAAATAAAGGAGAAAGGGTCTGACACCCGTTTCAGACAGTAAAATAATCATCAATTAGATTGATGTGTGACACATTTACTTCTATAAGATGTTTCCAGTAGGTCTAATAATAAAAATGAATAAAGCGGAGAGATTGTAGCCTTTAAGTGATTTGGCATATCATTAGTGCTAATTAGAATGTGTTATTTTCAATCAAAATTAAACTTACATAAAGTGGTAGATTAATTTACTATCAAGGAGCAATTAAGTTGAAAGAAAATTGCGGAAAAAAGTAGGTATATTCTGGACTACTGAAGTCAATTTGCAAAGCATCTATTGACCTTAGTGAGACCAAATTTTCTTATTATTAAATAACATAAGAAGTGTGATACAGGAGCTAAACAGATAAATAGAAATGGGGAACAATGACAGAGATATAACTGTCTGCTGTGAGACTGGATCAAATAAAACTAAACTGTCCCTGGCAAACATGTGATGTGTCCTCAGAAACATCCAGTGGCAAGGATTTCACCTCTGCTTGGATAAACTGTTCTAGTACTCGACTGAACAGGAATTAGTAATTAATGTCCAAAAAAACCCCCTCAACACAACTGATCAGTTCAAGTCTCACTTGAAAGGTTCGATTCTTTCACAATGGCTAATGGCAATTTTTATTTTCAAATTTGTATTTTCAAAATTAACAGAAGTAGCCTTTTTCCTCCATTTCTAAAAGAAATTTACTTTTTTGTTTGTCTCTTTCCTTGGCTGCAGGCATCTCTGGCATGGAAGAGATCATATTTTGTCCTTGGACTGTCCATGTTTGCCGTTTTTGGCAGCATCCACTTTGGCTTCCCTGGGTCAGGAGGGCTCTGCACATTAGTCTTAGCTTTTGTTGCAGGTGTGGGATGGTCTGATGAAAAGGTGAATATTTACATAAAGAAGCATACCATACCAAAACTCCTTTGAATATCCAGTCTGACAGGAGTTTGAATTTCTGTCAGGAGTGGTAATGGTGCATTTATAAAGCTTTAGGGGGTGTATGGGTTACAAAAAAAAAAAAAAAAAAATTTAGTTGTCAAGGCACTTGACTAGGTATCAAAAGCTTTATGTCCCAGCGCCGTGAGTGTCTGTAATACTTTACAGAGCCACTTTATGGTAAGATTTACAAACAGGTGTCCAAAATACAGTTGTGCACATGGCCTGAAGATCCTGAGGTTTTGTTCCCTGTGGTTTGGGGGTGGGGTGGAGTGGGGTGTGAAATGGAAAACAGTAATTAACCATTCTCTCTCACCTTTCCCAAATCTCAGCCAGTATATTCTGGATAAACTAGAGAGCAGGTTGTCCACAATCAATGCCGATATAGGGCCATACAAAAAACATATACAAAAGACTGCTTTTTAGTCACTTTTCTCATAGCTACTAAGCCTGCTTCCTCTTACTGTTGCTGCCTTGCTGCATTTCTGTACCTTGGCACATCTCACTGCCTCTTTTGCTTGATACCATCTACACTTTAAGGGCATTTTTCTCTCCACAGCTGTAGTCTTGCGACATGCAGCAGGAGAAGGGGAAAAGAAGAGAAAGGAAAGGGAATCAGATATAGCAGAATCCACATTATTATCCCCATCTAGACCCTGACTTCAGTGAGATCTCAAGGTTTGTTAAAACAACTAAAAAGAAACCATGGTTTCTATTTAAAGTATTACATTGTTGTCCAATTTCAAAGGACGAAAAGTTCATCTTGGGGCTTAACTACTTAAGGACATTACAACTGATAAAGCTCTCTATTGAAAAGTTTTTAAACCATTTCAGAAGGAAGGACCTTGAAAGAATACATGGAGTCTGTAAATGCTTAGTTTAAATACTTTTAATCAGTGAAGGAAGCTTTTCGGCCTTAAGGGTGTTGATTTCCAATGCCTTAGCTCTTTTTTATCAGATACAGTCAGAGATGTCTGCATACTGTATACTCAAGATATTACCAAGGTTTTCCCGCTCAGCTTCTCAAAGGCCATGGCCTCCTGCTGTCCCTGGTGGAAGCCACTTGGTGAATACTGTCCACGGAGAACAAGGAAGATTGTACCTATTGCTAGAACAGTTGAATGGACAGTAAACAGACTGAAATAATGCTAACATCTGTAAAGAGGATTATATTTTTTGCCAAAAAAATAAAAGAGTGAGATAACAAAGAGAAATGAGGCAAATAAAAAAGAACGTTTAGAAGTCTGTACATTTTCACCTCCTTCTCTCTAAGGTTACAGAAGTTTTTGTATTGCAGCCATCTACCATTCCACTGACTGAGGAGCAAGAGATGTTGCAGGATCAGTCCCAGAGAGAACACCAAGGACAGGCCGTGTCTAGGCCCTGGATTGATTATGAGGTGACAGAGCCCTGCACTTGTATTTTCCACACGCTCCAACATGAAGGTTCATTTGCTATTGTTGAACCCACTTAATTAGAAAGAAGTGCTATTAGATACGCTATGTGTACCCTTTCACATAAGTGGAAGATTCCTGTTTATCCTGGCAGCAGTTTTAAGAAAATTGTTAGGTGTAAAGTGCAAACACAAGGCAAAAAGATGGCTTGGCCCTTATACAGTCCGTAACACCTTTTCCTAGTATGGGATTTCAGACTTGCTCAGTCTAACTTTGCTCCTGCTCGTGTGGAGGCAGGCCTCTAAAAGCGGTGTGAGTGGAGTTAGGTCTTGACTGCATCTTTTGAGGGTCTAACTCTTCTCAGATACGAATGGAAGAACATGTTTAAATGTGCAGTTCCCAAAGGCTTAGAAACTTCATGGCAAAGCTGTTCAAATTACTTCTTAAATACCGAAAATCAACTATGCTTTATTTTTCTCCTCTTGCCTGCAAACTGCTCTGTCACTGTTCAAACATCAGTGATTTTTATATCTCTTCTTGAGATAGCAAGGATTTATTTACTAGTAGAGCTAGACACACTCTGACCTTTGAAAGGTGTGCAACTGATTTTGAATCTTTTAGTATTAGGTCAAAGGAGGAGCAATTCTGGACAGTCTTTAGGATACATTTCCACTTTGTCCTTCGATTAATGAAATGTTCTGCCTACTTGGTCATATTTTTGTGAATTTACAGATTATTTTTGTTTCCACTGCAGAGGGAAGTAGAAAAAATGGTTGCAGTTGCATGGAATATCTTTCAACCTTTTCTTTTTGGTTTAATTGGAGCAGAAGTATCCATTACATCTCTTAGGCCTGAAACTGTTGGTAAGATCGTTCACTAATTATCTCACTTTCACTATTGGCTTCCAAATAATCTCTATAAAGAAATGTAAAGCAAAGCAGACTACAGCTGACCCAAAACCCCCACCTTAATGCAAAGCTACAGTTTTAGGAGGCTTATTCTTCTCGGGCACCTATGCACAGAACAACTGAGAAGTGTTTGTCTTTGTTGCAGGGCTCTGTGTTGCTACATTAGGCATTGCCCTAGTTGTGCGAATCATAGCAACGTTCCTGATGGTGTGTTTTGCTGGGTTTAATTTCAAGGAGAAGGTATTTGTCTCATTGGCGTGGATTCCCAAAGCCACTGTCCAGGTAAACAGTCCAACATAACTTTCATTCCAGGTTAAATCTACTGTCCTTAGCAAAGCTCCTCTTAACTAGCACAGCAGTAAACAAGGAGAGGATCAGGCTCAATAACAGCACTGTAGTATACGGACAGTTTATATTCTCAACCACCATAAATCTGCTTGAAAAGTGCATGGAGAGCCTCCTGTGTGAAGGTGTTTTGCTTGTATCCTGGGTTGTACTCTTACTAATGAGAGCAAATTGTACATATATCACAGGAAGTTTAACAGTTTCTCAGCTATTGCAGATTAGTGGGCCTTTACATACAGATTCTGAGAACACTCAGAAAAGATAGGAGCATTTCCCTCTCACACATGACATGTCTGCAGGGACAGTCATACCAGAGGCTCAGAATGGGTTTTCAGTTTGTGGTCATTTGGTAAGTGGTAGTCTGACAGCCGTAGTGCTAGAGAAGCCTCAGGCTGGCTGCATACCTGCTCCTTTATTTCAGTGATTGTTAAATCATTTAGACTTTGCCTCAATAGCATGATTACTTGCAAATTAAAGTTCATAATCAGAACAGGCAAGGATTATTGCAAGATTTTTGAACTAAATTTTCAGAAGCTGCTACTAGTTGACTGCTGTCAGGACACATTCTCAAAGTCTGGCATTTCAACAGCTACAATATGCAGTATACTGGTCCGCTTCATTAATCACACACCCTCCAGAAATGTGGATAAGATGGCAGCTAAGCAATGTTCTTCACAGGAGGGAACCACCCAGATAAAGTCATTAGATTAGGAAATTCAACATGTAGCCAAGTGAAAATTGTTCTCATAGGTGTAATACAACATTTACTTTTCTATGTGCTGCCTAGAAACAAATGGGTTGAATGTACTAAAAATGTCAAATTTATGTTAAATGTTGACTGACGATTAGTCCCTTTTTTCCTCTTTCAGTGCTAAAGGTTATTTGCTCCATCTCAGCAATGTTTTCTTTCCTGCAGGCTGCAATAGGTTCCCTTGCCCTGGATACAGCGAGAAGTCATCAGGATGAGCAACTGGAAAAGTATGGAATGGATGTACTGACAGTAGCTTTCTTAGCTATCTTGATCACTGCTCCAATTGGAGCCCTGGTTATTGGCTTGGCAGGGCCCAGGCTCTTGCAGAAGGCTCAGACAAATAGCAAGGAGGATGAGGAAGGTGTTGAGGTTGGAGAAGAGGCATAGGCCTGTGAACCTTCGTAAGGCAGACATCTACAGGAATATGGTCCTTCAGCCCTTACACTTCTGTTGAGTAAACACAGCATGTCTGTAATCTTTCTGGAGGAAACCAAAACAAGTGTGTTACATCTGCTATTTTAAAAGCAGCCCTGGTGGCGTTTTATAAAATATTTTTATGTGTTGACGGTGCCTTAAGAGATGAAAAAGCTGAACATACAGTGAATAGGCTGGCCAGGCAGTGAGTCACTGAGAAGTTTGCAGTCAACAGTTACTTGAAATGTGTGGGTGTGAGGCCAGGGAGAGGATCAGAATTGTTCAGGCATGGAGTGGAGTCTTGAGGTGGAATATAAACAGAAGAAAATGGAGACTAATGTGAATAACTTCTTCATGGCTGAAACTGGGCTGTGAGATGACAAGTTCAACAGCTGAAAGAATGCGACTTCTGAATGAGAGACTGCTGACACACAGTGAATGAGTCCTGCCACAGGTTGGCGATTCCCTCTCTTTCCTCATTCGGGTTCCAAAACTTGCATTTTCCTATTAATGTTCTTCCTCACAGCTCATGCACTCCTTTGTGCCTTCAAGGGATTGTCAACACTGGTCACAGCAAGAAACAGCAGTGGCACTTATATGCCAAGAGACAGTTGGGTCCATCATGGTCTGTGATAAAACAGGTGTTGCTGGTGCTGGTAGAAAAAATGACAGAGCTTGAAAATGGAATGAGGGTTGTGGGGAGGCTGTTAAGGACTGGGAGAGGGTCATATGGGATTGAGTTGGCTTCTTCTGCACCTGTGTACCTCAGCCTTTGCACAACATGATGTCAAGGAAGGGAAAGCCAGCTCTTTGCCCACCGGGAGTGGCTATGTTCTTGTGCTGGCCACTGTAGGACACAAAGGAGAGCGGTTTTCAGGTGGGGTTTGCTGGCAGGGCAAAGCCAAGGTGGCAATGAGTTGTCCCTTTCTTCCTCAGCTCCTTTTGGGAAGCTTGGCAATAGCAGCAGACCTCTTCTTAAATCAAGATTCATGGGTCAGCAGTGATCTCCTGTTGCTTTGTCCTAAGTTAATACTCATCAGGCTGAGAAAATGCCACGATCAGGTCATTCTCACATTTGCATTTGAATAACTACAGCAAAGAAAATCAGATATTTGCTAAAAATATAGCCAGTTAGTGCTCACTTTTCTAAGAGGAGACTGGCTGGATTCATTGTGGAGAGTGAAGGCCTCTCAGATTTGCCAGGGCATTTTTTACCTCTCACTGATGCAGAAAACTAATACACTTTAAATAAAGTCTTGAAAATGAAGTGCTGAGGAGGGTGATACAAAGTGAAAGAAGCCTCATTCTCACCTACCTTCAGAAAGGTAGGTGAATGCCGCGTGAAGGCAGGTGTTGTGAGGAAGCAGTGTTTAGGACACAGAGCTAGCACCCTCAGCACGTACCCACAGATCCTGTGGGTCTTTCCAAAAACACAAGTGTGCGGCTGTGGATCATAGTAATGACTGGCAACACTCGAGTCAAACATCTTGCCAAAACATTTCACCAGGGGGAACAAAAAGATCAAATGCAGTTTTCTTCATTTTATTTAATATAGATGCCTCTTGCACAGTCAGTTGCAATATAGTTCACATTTGATTTTCCCATTCCCTGATGAGTTTCCTTTCTCTTCTTGACTGCCCTAAAGCCAGGAGTAAACCTCTCTGTTGATCAAAATCCTGTTCCTGCCTTTAGCTTTGGTATCAGTTAGGGTTTAGTATTGACAAATACCTGTAAATCTTTCTTACTCTGCCATGTTTTGTACAAGTCCCTAGCTCCAAGTAGGTCATTCCCAGCTCCATTCTGAGGCATGGAGTCAGTACAGCATCCCTCAGAAACTGGAAGTTTTGTTATTTTTCAGTATGTTAAGACTGTGCCTGTAATCAAGGTGGGCAACACCTCCCTGCAGATTTCTACGCTGCAGTTCACTGAGCTCATTTTATAGGATACCGTATAGAATCTGTTTGATGTGTATAGCTATTCTGGGCATCGGTAAGTAAGAATTAATTCTATTTTATCTTTTACATTTTTAATACGCAACACAAAGATGTACCTAAATACTTTTGAAGAAAACTATCCAAAACTGTGTTATTTGCAGTGTCCACATCTGCCTCTGTATACAGATTAATTACATCTCAGTATGTGTGCCTGTGCATATGCCTTCCTCTTCAAGCCAAAAAGAAAGCTTCCTGAGAAATATTTAAGGTTCATAGCCTGCAATTCCAGCACAGTGATAAAAATACCAGGAAATTATTGGTCAGTTTTCCCCTAACAGTTGTCAAGTACAGACATTTTTCTTACTATACAGACTGCTGTTCACTCTGCTTCCTCGGGGAATGTAGAGTTCATGTTTGTCCCCTGACCAGAAAGGAAGATGCTTTCACACAGCGCACTGATGAGTGGTTAGGGTGCTGTGCTTGTTGGTTATTGTGTCAGCTATTGACTTCTGTGCCTGTTCTACCTACTTTGTATGGCTAACAGAGGCACTCTGTTACTTAAATAGGGGTAGTGTTAATATTGCATTTGGAAATTATTGTTATTTGGAAAGTTATTGTATTGTAATAACAAATTGTAATGTCTGTAAACCTAATTGATAAGATGAGGGAATATGGTGTTCAGTTCATCAGTGACTGTCTATAATTCTACCTAAGTAAAACTTACAGGAGTAGAAGCTTTATATTGCTATAGTTTTACAAGAAGTAGAATCCTCCTGCAGGGAGTGATCACTATGCCAAATTTGGAGTCTGTTCAATAACACACATGTGATGTGTAAGAATTATAGCCCTTTAAATTTGAACACCACCTTAAGTATGCAGGCAAACCTCTGACAACCACCCCTTGTTCATGATAGCCTCCAATACTTGCTGACCATAATAGCATCTCATAAATTGGATTTATCATCTTCCCTTAACCTCAGCGCACTCTCAATTTATTCATTAGATCACTCCCACCATTCCAAGTGCTTGAATAGCTGTACCAATGAAAAATGTCATCTTGTTCACTAATCTAAACAAAACTGAATCAATTTTCCTTTCCTCACTGCCGTATGTGGATGTTTCTCACAAGACCCCATTCTCCCAGCTTTTATTAAATCTTCAGAAAGAATCATGTTGAAGCTATTACCTAGATCTGCAGTTCTAAAAAGAAAAGCATTAATGCTTTATAATGCTCCTCTCCTTGCCTTCCAGAGAGGAACGAAACACTTGCATCTTGTCATGAAGAGAAACGTTACATTGGGGCTCAGAACCTAAGAGACTCAGGTTTTTTAATAAGTATCGTGACAATTCCAGCTGATTTTAAATAGCAGTTAACTCTGAGAGATACAATTTCAGTTTTTATCAGTTTGGGCCGGTGAAGTCATGACATTTAAGACCACCTCCCTTTTAACAAAATGCCATGAAATCATTCATTAATAATGAATAAATTCAAGCCAATAAAATCTTTATGCCATGCCAGTCTTATTTGCAGGAAATAAAATTTGAGCACAATGTGCAGTACACTAACCAGAGGAGTCCCCCTGTCACACAGACACGATCACAGGCATAGCGTGGGAGGGCACCAAGCACAGTTCCAGAAGGTTCCCCGAGAACCTCTGCAGCAGAAGGGTCTGATGGCACAGCACGTTCCTGGTGGCCAGCAGCGGGCAGAGTTACAGCAGGCAGCATATGGGAAAAGACTGAAACTGGCCATCTGGAAGCAGGGAGTCGCACAGGCCAGGGGATGCAGTGATAGTGTAATTATAACCACTGTTTTCTCTTGTTTTCAGCCAAACTCAGCCTTTTAGGGAATTTAGACTGAAGTCTAAATTTAACTGTGAAACACTCATGGTGTAATACAGTCACAAAACAATGAATGATAGTTTTCATATTTTGCTTTTTAAATGAGTGTGAGAGATCAGATTTTGTGCCAGCTGCACTTCAATTACATTCACTTTGTCTAGTAGTTGCCACAAGTCAAGACATCTTTCTCTAAATGTATTTGTTTTACAAGTTTATTTGTAGTCTACTGTAACTATTGTTAAAATTCATAGTCAAAAGAAAGGTAAACATTACTGTTCTTGTAGAGTAAAAAGGCATGTCGCGACATGCCAAGTTCAGCTTCCCCTGATTTTGCATCCAGACTGTGAAGACCTGGTCTACTGCCTCAGTCCTGTTTTTTCTTAGCATTCGGGACAAATTTATCCCTTTGTGTGAACTGTGGCAAGGCATGACCAAGCACATCCTAGCAAGTAACTGGTTCAACTCTCTCAATTGCTGGTGAGATACAGGGCTCTGCAGAGGCTTCAGTGCTTAGCTGTCTATCCCTGTAGACTTTTGATAGATAATTTGAACCAACTGGTAAATTCTGTGAGATTTTCTATAGAAAATTCTGTGCCCATGAGAGACAGTATTATCTTGACAGATTTTTAAATGCAAGGAAATGGTCATTTATCTGGCTTGTCATCTTCATTTTATTATTATCTCATGGAAATTATTAAAAAGTCCTTTCTACAAAGAGCTGTGACTGAGTGCTGCTACTGCAGGCCCATACTACAAATGTGTTCCATTCCCCTATAGACATAAGCAAAAAGAAACAAAACCCCACCCCTGTTTGTTCCATAGCCACATTTGTAGATAGTTTAGCAGCAATCTCATCTAACAGCAAGCAGGGAGAAAAAAATAATTGCATAATCAAGCCATGCTAGAGCTGGAGTCAAGTGGTTAAACCTCACACTGTTGTTTTCCTTTTAGAAGAGCTTTGTGGTAGAAACAAAATCAGTTTTTCTGTATTACTTACTCTAACGGCATTTGTCCGAGGAGAGCAAGGGAAGTGAAAATAGGATTGATGTCTGAGAAGCAACCTATGTACTTCAGAGGAAATCAAACTATTTGAATGCAGAAGTATCCTGATAAAAGCTGGAAGTGCATACAGACTTTTATATAACAACAGCCTGCTACAATAGCCTGTGAATTCTAAGGCCTGAAAAAAAATTAAAGACAGGCTTTTGCATTTCACATAGCAATTTCTTCACCAAACCCAAGAAAAGGGACTTGGTGTTCAATATACCGCATCTATAAGTGAAGATTAAGTATAAGACACTTAGTAACATTAAGTATTTTCCTTTGTTATAAATGTTGTATCGTAACACAAAGTTTATGGTTTGTCCACCCATTAAGGTAAGACCACCATGAAGCATTTAAACATTAAAGATTGTACTGTGGCTCTATTGGATGCTTGGTAAAAGCAGGCATTTAACATAGCATCACATCCTGATCTCCCATCTTTTGCTGCAAGGCAAGAGGTGAAGGTACCTAGCACTACAACTGTTACAAATGCAGGAGGAATGATCTACCTTAGTTTTGGTGCTGCTGCTGTGAGAGCCAGTATGTGAGAACTGCCCTCTGACTTGCTTTGGTTCAGCACTGTGGTGATCAGCTTTGGCAATGGCACACCGCTCCAGGGCTTCCCACCTGCCTAACAATGGGTCACATGAATTGCTGTTAAGAAACAGCTGAAATCTGCCTTGGTACGATTTTCTAAAACTGTAGCATGGATCAAATTTTTGTTTTTCAAATTATGGATATAGTCTTTCATTGGAGAATAAAGCACTTGGAAAATTAATTAGAAGTCTAGCAATCAGTTAAATAGCAATTATTTACCTGCATCTGAAATTAAGCCATTCCAAAACAAAGCTCTGACTTGCTCAAATAATGATTTCAATGATAAGGAGCCAAGAATACAGCTCAGTTCTGCTTTCTTGGTTCTGTCATTTAACTAATTCCTCCCGTGAAAAGTCTCCACTACAAAAAGTAGCAGCTACAGTGCAAGTGAACTGGCCAAGAAGCAAATTTGTGTTTCCTTACAAAAGCTTGTGAATGATCAACACAGGGGCCTGCAATAAAGGGATGTTGTTAGTGGTTGACCTGCCCAAGGGTTTAGGTCAGGAACTGCAGCACTCCACCTAGGATGCTGTAGGAGACTTTCCAGCTGTGTGGGGTTTGTCTCAGCTGGGTGGCTTTGCATGAGACTAACAATTTGCCCGCTTAGGCACTGAACAGGCCAGACCTTCACTTAGCTTAACATCACTATGCTGCCTGCCCTCAGTGGCACGTTTAGGTATATTCACAAAGGATTCGTTTAATATCTTTTTCACCTCACTTAAGTGCACTTAAATTTGTTGTTGAAAAGCAGAATAAAACATGGCTTCTCAGCAGAACAAAATCAACAGAGGTACGCTTCTCTCATTTAGAAATAGTGACAGTTTTATAATTACATGTTCATACAAAAAAGGCTTAATCGTAGGAAGTCATTTTATTGTTGAAATAAATGACTTATTTACAGAGATAGCTACTTTACAGTTTTACAAAGCAGACATAATTCTTCTCAGAATAAAGTATCAAAATAGTGGCAGATTTAGCACTGTCTAAACGCAGTTTATTCCAAACAGAAACCTACAGCAATCATTAGACTAAATCATACCAATCACATCATAAGATGCTGGCCCTTGCAACTACAACGGTATAAAAAGACTTTTTATCAGTCATGATCTAGTGGATCGAGCATCTCCTATACTTCTTTCTTCTTGAGTATTAGTGGACCTACATTATCTCCTGTTAATTCATTGTGCTTGTTGTGGGAGCCATCACAGACAGGGAACTGGAAGAAAACATAGATGAGGAATTAGTATAACTCTGTACAGCAATTGCATGGTGATTTTTATACTTCTTCCTATGCCAATGGCACTTTGATAAAGTTGCTAGTTCCTTCTACTATGTCCTGTTTCAACATCAAACTTACTGTCAGACACAGGACACATGTTACTAAGGAAAAAAACCCACTGCTAACAGGTCACTAAGTTTGTGGGGACCTAAAGTAGTTGTTCTTAGACAAAGCTAGAGACAAAGCCTTTTCTATGAATGAACAGCAAGCAAAGCAGCCATTGCAGCCACAAATAGTTTAAGGTTTATTGCAGAACTAGTAAAAGTGCTCTTAATACATTTAGTCATTTTCAACCAGAAAGTACTGTTTTAAGGAAAGCCGAAATACTTTGCTGAAGTGATTAGTCTGAAGTGAGAGTAGTTGAGAGGGTTTCTTAGGTCCAGGGTAGATTTTTTTCTTAAAACAGGAAAATGGTCAGTCCAGAGAAGACAAAAAAAAGAGTGCAGTGAGGACATTCAAAAGAAAGAAACTTAAATGAGGTGAAAAATACTTTTACATCTAGTTGATTTGGGTGATATGGACTATTCAAACCAGTCATCTACTGGCTGCTCTGGGCTAGATGGGGATATGCTCTCCCTCCCCAACACAGGTCCAGCCTTACTTTCTTTCTAATATGAACAACCTTCTAAGCATTGTTTTTGCAAAACAGTTATCTTCTAACTAGTTTTAATATATTTCCAAATACTGAACAAGGTTTGCTTGATTTTAATCTACTCACAGGTGGTCAGTCTGCAAGTGTTTCTAGAAAAACCATTCTGTGTTTCCTACAAGTTTCTACAGTTTCTTTCTGCATGTAGATAGGTTTACAGTGGAGAAAAATAAGAACCATGCCATTCTCAAAAACCAGGAACATGCCCCAACTCCAGAGAAAAGCAACAGGTCAACATGTAGCAATTCAGCACCAAAGCACTGATAAAAATATGCAAGTTTCAATCTCTAATCCTACAGCAGCACAAAGTGTCTCACCGTCTTAGAACGCCAACATCTGCAGTAAGCTTTAGTGAGGCACAGATCTTCGATGTTTATTTCATTCACAACTTTTGGATTTTCCTTCTGGATCTTGAGGTTAATCAAGCTATCCTTTTGCTGTTTCTTCTTGGGGAGGAACGGACGAACAGCGAGGTAACCGAGCAAGGCCAGCACGCCCAGGAAAGGCAATAACCGCAGCCATTCTGCAACTAAAGACAGGTGGAATTTAGATTGGCTTTTGACACCACTTCAGTATGATACAGCATCAGCTACTTTCAAATGGCTTAGGCTTAGGGTAGGGAATGGCACTGCCCAGTCAGCAAGGCTCTGAGTGAGGGCCAACAAGCCTCTGGATAAGTCTTCAGATGAAAGAAGACCCAGATTAAAACCTGGGTTTTACTGTAGCCAAGGTAAAAATTTGACTCCGAGAATTTAATATGAAGTTTAGTTTTAACATTCTGAAGGATGGCTCAATGGAATAGAATAAATCCAAAACACATAAATGACATACTGAAAGAGGAACCCTAAAATTACAGGGGTTCTGCTCACCCGAGGTAAATCGACACCGTGTACCAGCAAACTGGGCAAGATGACATGCAGGAAGTATATTCAATGCCAGCATCTTACAATTCTGTAGATGAATACCAATTCAGTATATTTTATAATTAAATTTTTAATTGTTTGTTTCAGATTTTGAGCTGCTCGAAGTTTTCCTCATTTTATCTGTTCCTAGTTTTTTTAGAAACTTTTTGTAGAAATGGTGCATATTATTAGGTAATTGCTATCAAACCCTTCACCAATCTTTTTTATTTTGTTTTTCAGAGCTCTGTTTGGCCAAAGATCTGCCTAAGTTTCTGCGATACACAGAGAAAGAAAGAGTCCTGAGATCAGGTAAGTCAAGCCACAGAAAACTGCTTTTTACCAAACCGAGGAGCTTGTTTTAAGTATAGGTAAGAGATTCAACTATCCTCTGCAGACTTAGCTACCTCGCTACATCATTATAAATCTTCTAGACATTCTGATGAGAGAAAGACTTACTGGACTTTTAAAGAAATTCATCAGTACCTGGCATAAGATCTATATATACTGAAGGTGGATCCACTGCCAGCAAAACATGTTGTGACAATACTCCACTGTAATTTAAGTACCATGGTACAATAAAGGAGAGAGCATTTTTGTAAATTTATGGAGAATACATTTAATCTAAACACTCTTATAGAAATGGAAGAGAGTTTAAAAATATTTTAAAATGAGAAAGAAGTGTAATGAACTGGAACACAAATAGCTGCATAAGCACTTTGTAAGACAAGGCACTGTAATCAAGTTCCTCTTTTAAATGATTTAGGATCAGAACATAGCAAAATTTTGTTCTACAGATTGCTTTTTGAGATTAAGATGTACGAGAAAGGAAATGCAATAGAGCAGGCTAAGGGTGCTAGGTAGGCTGCACCTCTCAGAAATTCCATTATTCTGTATAGCTTGATTTTATCTGTAACAATAGAGCACATGTTCACGCTAATGCTTTTCCAGTTAGAGCAGTGGCTTTTTCTTAAGAATTTGCATTTTCTGGAAATACACCTTGTAATGAAAATACTTTGTAGGACTAGTTTTATGTTCTTTGAGCTTTCTGTAACCTTTGATGTGAAAGCCACACTTACTGCATTTATCTGGAAATGCACCACAACTGTGTAAGTGCTAAAGGCACTGCAAGAACTTTCAGCAGTCTTTCCACACCTGCATTTGCAACAGTTTCTACACACAACAATTAACAAAATTTGCTAACAGTCATTGCAATAAACTAATCTCTGTTGCTCTTTTCTCAGTTCCCCCAACAAGCTGTAAGCCCTAAACAATCCACAATTAACACCAAGACACTTAAAAGTTTTCAGTTACACAGAGTACTCAGTTTCTCAGACAGCAGTGCCTGCTTATCTTTCCAGTCTATCATTACTGCTACAGAACACCCCATCAATAGGAATCCAAATGCACTTTCTGACCTTATGTGAAGAACTGACTTGGAATGTACTTTAGAATAAAGGAAAAATATATGGTCACTTAAAATTTTCCAAATTGAGTATCTAACCTGACCTGGCAAAGAGGTTGATCTCCACAAAGCTACTCCAGGACAGAACAGACATTCCAACAGGTGCACCATAACCTGGGCACCTGTCAAATGAATACAGCTGGGCTAAGATTGACACACCGAAAGGAAATGTCTCACATCAGAATTAAACATTGTTAAGAGACCTGCAACTAAACAGTAGGTGGCATCTCAGTAGAGCTTGAAATTCACTGATATGACATCAAAACCAGACCAGTATGTCTACAGGAGACTCGTAACCAGTTGGTTTCATCCAAATGAAACAGGAACATGATAGATGTAACCTCTGGGAAAGGAAATTACAAACAAACAGGAATAGGAAGTACAAGGATATTATTATCACGGTTATTATTTAATATTTGTATCATGCTAACTGATAAGGAGTTTTGTCCTCGCTAGCCAATTATTTCTTTACATATTTCTAATATGGGAGTCTCTGGAAAGTCCCCAATTACACCAATGTGTACACTAACCATAAACTGACTTGTTATTGCCAAAAGACTGACAGAAGCTCATACTTTTAGATTGAAAAAAAAACAACATGAACATGTTTTTAGGGCATGAGAGGCACGATCCTGTCACAAAGTAAAAAAGTCACAGATCTTTGGACTGGGTGGGTAAGGGTAGGAGAAAAGCTTTACCCAAATTAATGCAATGATATATTCCTACAACTGTAAGCTGCTCAGTGTTTCTGAAGCCATTCATACCTTTCTGAAGCAGATGTAAGGCAAGTCACAAGACTGTATTTTCACAGCTGATAACTCAGAATTCAGCAATTACATTGACTCTGGAGATTCTTTATCAGTTCTGCTGCATAAGAAGAGGCAATCTTTGGAGCCAGAAATGGCGAGCAGAGTGTCGAAGAGGTTAGTCTTCAAACTTGGCTTGTGTTAGACAGAGACCAATCCCACAGAGAAGTCCTGGAAAGTATCAGGAACATCACTGAAACAGGAATGCCAAGAGAGTTCCAAGAAGCTGAGGCCATGGACCATAGGCCACATTTACTTTTTCAAGGATAGGCTGTCTTAACTTTTAGTCCAACAGTAACAAGTCCAAAAAAATAAGAAACACATACACTGTGAACAGAAAGGGACTGGCCAGCTACTGAGAGTCAAATCAAAGCAAGTGGTCCCTGCTTGTCTTTCACCAATTATTCATTTGGTATCTTTCACTTTGATTTACGTCTCAGCTAACTTTTGTGGAAATGACCCTATGCAGACCAAAAAGCAGCTTCTTGCAGTACAGCTCAACTAACTGCAAGCCAAAATTTTAACAATTATTAGCTACCAGTCAAAATGAAGATTGGAACTGTGACTGTATATTCTCTAAACTGATTAAGTTCTTCACGCAAATTCAAATTACTTAATTACATTCTCTTCATCACTAATAAGAGTTCTATCCTAACTGTTTTCTGTTGTTCGCTTGGGTCTCTTAAGGGTGTTCTCATTGCCACACAAACTAAACACAAAAGACTCCACACACCACTTCAGTGTGTATTAGCTTATGAAGGTGGAGGTGACCATCCTTTTAGTGACACAGCATACCAAATAAATAAAAAGCCAAAGCTACAGGTAGGTTAGCAAGCCACTCTGCAAATGCCAAATTTATGGTTCAGAAGAGTTCTGAAGACTATTATCATGGTATCACCCTTCTTTCCCTTGGTACAGTAAAAGATGATCCACAAAACTGTTCCTGCCTGGCAGCTTGTTACATTAAAGCCCCTCTTAACATGTAGGCCAAGCATCACAGGACTGTGTCATGTTTATGGAAAGAAGCCTAGCACCTAGATTCTTACAGAAACCTTGACATTCTGACCACATGCTATTTTGAGGTGAACGTCTACGCCATTTTAATGACATGTACCAGGATAAAAAGCAATGCAAGCATGAGACAACACTTCATTTCAGTGACCTTGAGAAGGGAAGCGTAAAGCAGCTATAACAAGAAACTGAAAAAGGCTTCTGAGCAGCAGCAGCACAATTTAGATACCCACTTTCAAACCCAAGCTTAAACATTCTTTCCTTCCTCCCTCATTGCTTTTATCTTCGGGAGTTTTGCACTAGATGTTAACAGTCTTCCTCTCTCCAAGAAAGCAGTTTTCCATTGTGATTTGGTGAGGTCACAACAGACAAGAGGCGTCTCAAGATTTTTAATCAGCACACTATACAAAAGGATCCCCCCTATGATTTTGGCCTGTTGTTTCTAAAACTGATGCAAAACAGGAACTGAAGTTGCATCTGCCTGGAAGCTAATGAAGGTTTACAGATGCAATAAAAGAGCTAACAAGCAAAGGACTGCACTGTTCCAGATTTGGGTTCTGACCTGCCTTTGTGAATAAGGTCTATGATAGCTAGTGTTTAATAGTGCTGGTCCCTGACTAAGTTCAGCAGAAGCCACCAAAGGACAAATACTAATGCACTTAACGAGTTTTAAGATGAATATTATTTCTCACTTTCCAAAAAAGAAATATGCTTGACATGTTTAATATGTCATTTGCCAAAGAATATGCTCCTCTATAATTTGTAGTAGTAGTAGTAAGCACAAACAGAATATATTATTCTTATCTTCTCTATTGTCTAGTTGTCTTTCACCAACAGTAATTCAATAGATATGATCCTGTAAGTTATCGCTGCAAAATAACTTCCAGAATTGGGAATCCCCGGTTCTTAGAGGCTTATGATTTTAGGACAGGACAAGTGAAGACCACAACAACCATACAGAAGAGGCAGCACTTGCTGAAGCAATTCAGTTTTCTCAGATGAAACTTTAGACTGACAGCAGCTCTGAGCACAGATAAGTACAAAACTCTTCAGTGAGGTTTCAATGACTTTCAATAACTTCTAAGCACTAGGAGAGGGTAATTTTTTAATTCAGGTGCCTAGGATGTATTCTATGATTTCTTTCTGAAAAGCCCCACCACACTACATTTAACCCTATGCTGTAACTTTAAGCACCTTGTAAACTTTTGCTGCTTTTTCCTCCATTTTCATTCACATCTACCCTAAGTAGAAGATATACAAGCAACACAGTAGATATTAATCTAGCCTAGCTGACTGTTGAAAGAAATGAAAAAAATGTGTAAAAATGTTGTGTCTATAGCTATGTATTTTTTATCGTAACTCTGTTTCCCCATTTTAGAGTGTTTAGCCCAAGACCAGTCAAAAAAATCACTAAGAACTAGAGGCAGTGGATTTTTTCAGGTACACTCATTCTGGATTCTACCAGGTCTCAAAGCAATTTCGGACTCTGTTCCTTCTTTTACCATTATTTAACAGTTTTGGGACTGATATTTCACGTTTGGTCTCCACTTAAGGTTTCAGTCGTTTGCTTCTTGCCCCCCCTCCAAATTCAAGGAAGCACCTGTCAATGGGGTAAATACATGACAGCAAACCCGTTCTCTCCCATTGATTATTCTATTAAAAAAAAGTTCTGACCAGACATTTTCAGAATAAACTATAATTACTACTACACAGTGTGAATACAGAGACTGCGCAACTAATCCTGTTACAGAAATGTATGTTTGGACAAGTGAAGCAAGAAGAGATTAAACTCAAGCATTACTAAACAAATTTTAAGTACAACTTGTGGTTAAAAGAGCAATGACTTAAGTGGGAAACGGCCAAATGCTGGGAATGTGAGAAGCTGCATTGTTCTGTAGTTTATTGTATCCCCTTCTTCCCAACTTAGTAGGAGCTGAATTTCTCTATTCAGTAAATACATTTAACAGCATTTTCAGATGAGGGAGTATTGCGGGGAAAGAACAGTTCATTTAAAACGGGTTTCCTTGTTGTGGAAAAGATAATGAGACTTCAAGTTTACAAGCAACACAAACATGCTAGAAGAAAAGTACTGAAATCCATTTTTAAATAATTTGTGCCTGCTCAAAATCAAGTAATTTTCCAACGCTATTAAAGACATATACCTTAGTGCTGCAAGATAAACATACAAGGTTGGTTCTATACTTTGAAGGCTTTTTCTAGTTACAGATTTTCTGTTAGAGCATTCTTCTTATCACTGAGCTAACCTTGTTATCTGATACTACTCGAGGTTCTGCCTGTACTGGCACTGCTGAGCCTAGGCTCAGATAGTTCCCGTTTGAAAAGCACTGAAATGCACTAAAGAATTTGACAGTATTTTGTTTTCTTTCTTGTTTCCTCTGTGATAGGGCTATGATTAACGAATAGGTATTTTCACTCCCTCACCCAGAAAATCATCATAGAAATTACTAAATAAAAACAATCCCTACATTTGTGTATGTAGCAGCTGCCCAGAAACAGATCTGTTGTGGTTTTTTAAACAGTACAGACCCTCTCTTTAACCTTTTAAGCAAACGAATATGCAGTGTTTTAGGCCTTCAGCTAAAATCCCATTTTCTTTTATGTGCACGGCCTCTGACTTGCTGGTACTTGCACAGAGAGAAATTTTAAGTGCAGTGCAAACGAGCTGGGGCCGAGAAGCCTGGTACGTTTTACTCCATCCCTACATAACGGCATCTTAAAAGTCGGGTAATTTTCCTGCAACAGTTTAACGGCGCTTTAACAGTCGGGGTTCCCCCATTCTGTAACAGAGAACTTGTTTAGCGCGGCCGGGGGAAAGCGAGCGATGCCTGGAGCGAGGAGCGGGAGCTGCAGCCCGGCGCGGGGCAGGCCCGGTGGCCGCCAGGGTCCAGGCAGGAGCCCGCTGTCCGAGCCGGCCCCGCCGCGCCCCTCACGCCACCCGCGGCCGCCGGAGGGACGCGAGACCCCCCCCCCCCCCACCTACCTGTGAGGCGGATGAAACCGCCGACGCTCTCGGGCAGCGGCAGGCGCTTGAGGTAGGCGGGCAGCTGGACCTTGACGATGCGGGCCAGGCTCTCCAGCACCATGGCGGCGGCCGTCGAGGAACCGGAGAAAAGGCTCCACCAACCACCGACACCCCGCAACGAACGGCCGCCGCAGCGAGCCGCTCGCTTCCTCGCGCGACTCCCGCCGCGCACGCGCAGCGGGGCGGTGCCGGTGCCGGTGTCACCCGCATGCGCATGCGCGGGGGGGGGCGGGTGCGGCCGTTTGCCGGCCGCTCCTGAGGGCGCCGCGGGAAGGGGCTGCTGCCGGGCGGTGCAGGCGGGAGGGAGCGGCGCCGGCAGCTGGGCCCGGCCCGGCCCTTGGCAGCCAGCTAAGGCGCCTCCTGAGCCAGCTGCTGTCCTGAGGTGAGGGGAGAGGGGCAGCGCTGCGCCCGGCCTGCGGGTCTTGTGGCCGAGATGTCCGGCCGGTCGTTTGGGCCTCCCTTAGGTGTAGCTCACTTGAAGGTACAGCTAGGGAGGCGAGGGATTGCGAGTTTAATAGCGTGTATCCTCTCGCCACCCTGTTGTGTTAAAGTTGCATTTCATGTCAACGGTCTTTAAAATATTGAAAGAAAAGACTGAACATTTTTCTGCATATGAATGATGTGTTTCATGTGGTATCGTAACTCCTCAGAGGTGGGGTAATATGAGTGCTGAGAGCTCTGAGATTACGGAGAGAGGCCCATCTGCCTAATGTTTGGCAATAGTTTGTGCAGAACAAGCTCCATCTCTTGAGCGCGTTATTTAATTTTACTTAATTTTATGTCAAGGAGACTGGTTGTTTTGGCATAGAAAATTGGCCCTGTATAGCCAGGTGAAAAAATGAGAAATATGCAGCTGTTCCAGGTCAATTTAGACTAGCCAGCTAGACCTCGATACTCTTGTGTTAGTCCCTTGGTCACGAGTCCGGCACCATTTGGTTCAAGATGCTTTGCTACAATGGCTGAATCCATTAAGTGCTAATAGCATATAGCACAGCACGAACATCTTCAGGAAAGCTGAAGCAGCACAATCCTTCTAGAAGACTTAGCTGCTTCCTTACATGATCTTGACTGGACCACAGTTCTCTCTCCTCCCTCAGTGTATGGAAACCACACTATATCTGCCCATATCAACTGTGCACTTTTCCTGCCAGCCCAGAATTGGTAATTAAGAAGTTTTGGGGTAAGTTAGTGGGGTTGAACAAGGCAGCAAAAGAGTAAAAGTAGGTATTTCTTGAGTCAGATGAACCCACTGATGTGTCTTTGGCTGAACCTACTCAGCAGTCATGTTTGCCTTGTATTGTTTAGGATATACAAGCCCGGTGCTAGATGTCTTTCGCTAGTTTGCTTTAGTGATCAATTTGGGACAATCTTAACCAAAATTCAAAATCACCATAAAGGACTAAGGCAAAAAAAAAAAAAACAAACCAAAACTGGAAGCTAGGTTTAAGACAAACAAATCCAGCTTGTTTGTGCTTCTGGCCTGAATATTGCTTTCCTACCTGTGAACCTACATCAACATTTCCTGATGAATCATCTTCAGCTAGTGACAATATTCCTGTGATCTCAGAGTATCTTAGTTCCCTACCTCACCTAAGTTTATCCTTGTAATGACTATGTCTGCTGTCCCAGGATGACTCCTTCTTGTGTAGGCAAATGCCTGCTGTTAGACAAGATAATGAAAGAGCGAAATGCTTGATTATTCTGTAAAGATTGCACATCAGATGTCATGATGTAACTTTGTTTGTTAAACTTTCTGAGGGAAGAATACATAAGGCTGAAGATACATAAGGTAAGTCCTCCAGCTCTGAATCAGACAACTTCATGCTGAAGTTGAGAACTCTGTCCTTCCCTTCTCCTCCCTTTCTTCTGCCCTTCCAGCCTTCCCTGGATGCTAGCTGTGATACTGGGAGCACAGCTGATTTCACTGAAGCTCCTGAGCCCTGCTGTGCTGCCTTTGATCAGCGCCCCACTCAGCACACTGCAAGACAATCTGCACATGTTGCAGAGAGGAACTGCTCTCACCACGCCTCGCCTGTCTGCATAGGTATCAGTTGACATGAGTCATGAACAGTTTTGGTATATGAAAGGCTGAAGTCCTAGATAATGGAAAAACTATAAAGAAAATGAAGCCTGAATGAGATTCTTAACTGAAGGGAAGGCAAAAGGTAGTCTTTAGAAACCCACTTTGAACTGGAGCTCAGAAGATGCGTGTTCACTCCAACTTGGCAGCAGACTTCCTGCTTGACTTAAGGGGAAAAATGTAGGCTGCCGGCTTGTTTGGTCCCGCAAAAAAGAACAGGGTTTTACACAGTAGTCCATCTTCAGGGACCACATCATGGGGTCAGAACTTAAGATCAGTCAACATCAGGAGGCTTACCAAGCAGGTGTGACATCTTCCTTCTGTTACACACATTTAATATCCTATGTGGACATCCTTATTCCACAGGCAGATTGCTTCTTCAGGATTTTATCAGCATCCGTTTCAACTTTGGCTCAGATCTCAATACTGTTGGGTATCTGGAAAATTTTCTAGCTTTTTGGAGGGAGAGTAATATGCAGCAATTAATTCTTGCATATTTAGCTTCAGTTTGTGAATTGTTAAAAAGTAGAGATTGCCTCTGCTTATGTGCTTCATGCTGAATTTGGCCACTGAAACTCTGGTACTGGGTAGGATATATAGGACTTGCTCTAATAAAAATAACAGCACAAAAAGCCCAAGCATACATACTTGAACAGAACCTAGGTCACCAATACTGAAATACGATTCTTGCTTTCAGCAGTAGGTATCCTCTATCACTAGGATTTTTGATCTAGCAAGAACATCACAAGTAAGACAGAGCACGGAGTGCACATGAAGAGATCTACATAGCTAGTGCTAATTCAGGTCTTTTACATGGAATTCCCAAAACACAGCCCAAACTGAACCAGCACAATTAACTTACTACTATGCATGCTTTGATGAAAATGGTAGAAAAGTTTGCGGTGCAGATGCAGATCATGTTTGGCAGAATTTATTCTGCCAAGCATAATGTCGCTACAATGGCTGCACTGGTCCAGCTAGCAGTAGGAATGAGAGTTGCCTTCAGCATCCACAGGCTGGTTGGTCTGGGTCCAACAGACTGAGCATAGGTGAAAAGAAGCTGTTTGTGTTCCTCTTCTTGCTACCCTTCAAAAATTGCTTAATTTTCCTGTGCCTTTAATTCAGCTGTAAAGTAAGATATTACTTACTGGTCTGTCCAGAACGCTAAGATTTTCAAAGGAAAAGAACATTTATAAATTACATTTATTTATTTCATTTTACCAAGTACCCACCAGTAAGGATAAAAGATGAAAGGTTCTGAGGTAGCAGACACACAGTCCTTCCATCTTTAAAACACGCCTAAGTATAACACTAATCTGCTCAGCACTCTGTCATGGTAATGAGCTTTTCTGCCAACAGGATGTCTTGTGTTGTTAAAACCATTTTCTTGGAATTGTCATTGCCATTTTCCATACTGACCTCCTGGAATAATCTCTGCAGCAAGCAAAAGTACTGTTGTCAACTAAAAACTATCCTGTCACCAAAGGGCTGGATTCTGTGGTCAGCAAACACAAGCCTCTGTCTAGGAGGAAGCTAGATCTCTCCCTTTGTATTCGAATCATTTCACAATGGGGTTTGATTAGCTGCTTTCCCTGCTGTATGCAGAGATATCTCTCTCTTCTACTTCCCCAAAAGCAAGCAAAATTATTATACCCCAGAAGGGCTGTAGGAACTGCGATTCATTTCATGCAATGTCTCCAGCTATTAAGCAATTGAATTTCAAAAAATAAGGAGACTGGCTTAAAAATGTAAACCTTAAGACCATTTACATAAGGTTACTTTTCTCAATGCTTATGAATATTGCAAGCAAGTCGCAGTTGCATTGCATGCAGGTTAGGTTTTCATTTCTTATTTTCACGTCCAGAGGCTTAATTGACTTTAGAAGAAAGTTGAGGTTGTCATGCTTTCACTTGACTCTGAGACTTGGCACCTTAAGTGGCTTCTGCTGGTGTTTATTGAAAATATCTGCTATTCTGTGGTGGGTAAAGTGTTTGAGAGAACAATTAGTTAAGGAAACAAATCACATTTATAATAGAATAAATAGGGTAATTTTGTGATAGCATAATTTTCATACTATAAAATTACTGCTAAATTAGCATGATCTTGCTCTCTAATCTAACTAATGTCCAAAAATTTTACAATGTAACTATTATGTTCTGAAAGCAGATGCTATTGTAATTGCCTAAGTAACTGCAGTGTCCTACTAATAGCATGTATTACTGTTGAATTTTAAAATTCCCTGTGGCTTAGAATGCTGTTTATTGTCACAGATTGTAGTGAATTAATTTGTAAAAAGAATGAAAACAGGAATATAAAGAAAAATAGCAAGATTTCTAAGAATTGGATCAAGTCCCAACATGGCAACTTTGTGCATGAGAGAACAGAGCAGCAGACTCTGTTTTTATTTATTCAAGAAAAATATCATGCTTTGATCTCTAAGACACAGGTTCAACATTTTAATTTCTTCTTCTGACTTCTGCTGCTGGGGACTGGGAAATGTTACCCGTGAGTTGGGTATGAAACAAAGTTGAAGAAAACTCCAACTCAATAAAGAATAGGTGTGTTCAGTTCTAACTTCCTAGATATCCCCAGATAAAGCTCAGTTACTTTCTACTTACATTGTATGTTTTTTCCAAGTTGGAACTGTCTTTTTATGCAATAGTGTCCTGGTTTTGGCTGGGATAATTTTCTTCCTACTAGCAGGTACAGTGCTGTGTTTCGGATTTAGTATGAGAATAATGTTGATAACACACTGATGTTTCAGGTGTTGCTAAGTAGCGCTTACCCTAAGTTAAAGATTTTTCAGTTTCCCATGCTCTGCCAGCGAGCTGGTGCACAAGTTGCTGGGAGGCAGCCTGGCCAGGACAGCTGGCCCGAACTGGCCAAAGGGATGTTCCATACCATAGATTATCATGTCCAGCACATAAACTGGGGGGAGTTGGCTGAGGGGGCAGATCGCTGCTCAGGCATCTGTCAGCAGGCGATGAGCAATTCCATTGTGCATCACTTGTCTTTTCTTGAATTTTAGTTCTCTCTCTCTTTTTTATTACAATCCCTTTAATTACAACTATTAACATTATTGCATTTTATTATTGTTGTTATATTTTATTTGGCTATTAAACTGTTCTTAACTCAATCCATGAGTTTTACTTTTTGTTTCGATTCTTCTCCCCATTCCACTGGGATGGGAGAGGAGTGGTTAAGCAACTGCATGGGGCTTAGTTGCTGGTTGGGGTTAAACTATGATAAATGGTTAGCACTGGTCAACAGTAGTGGTTTCTACAGCTAATATAAAATTCACAGAAACAGCACAAAATGAAACTATGAATATTCACTCAGTTATGCTAAGTTACTGATTTTGGCTGCCTTTACTTAAAGCCTAGAAGGCAAGAAATTTTATGACATGAAACTACTGTGAGTAACATCAGTCAAGCAACAATAACGATGCACAAGAATGTACGTAGTAAATATAATATTGCAATGAGTTTTAAATTTGACCCATTACATGAATCATCCAGTCTTTCCATTCCCATTAGGTAGCTGATCCGATATGTACTGCTCATGAGGATCCAGGCTGATCTGATTGCTGGTCACATACAGGCTTGCACAGATTTGGAACGTTATTGGCTTCCAGGGAGCTGCTAATTCACAACAGTTTTACTCCAATCAGAACAAGTGTCCTTAGGATTCACTAACATGTTCATAAAAGACCAGATCTGTTCCTGATTTGTGGCAGGTTCTGCCTGATTTATTGCAGTAAACCAGGTTGCAAAATCCCCAGATTGTCCCGCAGGAGGAAGCTGTGGTGATGGAAAGCAGATACATCCTCCCCTGTGCTAAAGGATCTACAGAGGACAAAACCGACATAATCTGGGAAGTACATGCTGCTAAATGAACAGACATGAAGTAAAACCACTGTCAAAACACTACAAGCTGCTCTCTTATGATGGGAATTCCAGGGAAAAGAAGCTATATACATGTCAATGTATTCTCAGTAAGGGACCACTCACCATTCCCTTTTAAACTGCAATGATCTTTGCTATCAGTGAAAACTCTACCTCCTTGACTAGGCAGCTAAGGGTATATTTGTTCCCTTAGTACTTTACTCCCTTGGTGTAATCGTTGTCACTAAAAGATTACTTGTATTTTGGAAGGGAAAGGTGAGAATGACACAAGACTAATTCCTGTGATGCAATGTGCGTTTGTTGTCAGTGGCTAATTATAGCACAGAAAAACTACCAGCTTCCCCAGCCGAGGACAGAGCACAGGATCTCTGCAGAATTACTGCACTCTGCTCTTAAGTTCTTCCTGTGTCATGATGCCCACTGACACTGCAGTAAAACAGCAGTTTATCATGCCTTCTCAGGCTGCTGTGTAACAGCAGCACTGTGGAGATTTCTGAGCCTGTCTCCCTTCTTCAAGGTTAGCCAGGTCTGGCATTGACAATAACCCAAACTCATTCTCTGTCATCTCACAAGAATAAAGAGGAGAGGAAAAAAAAAAAAAAACAAAAAAAAAAAAAAAAAAAACCACAAAACACCATGCTTCTTCGATTTCAAACTATTAAGTTTATGTATAATGGATGGAGATGAAAGCAGGGGAAGAGGGGCTATCTTGATTCCAGCACAATGACATGGAATAGTACTACACCAGGTAAATAAGATTAATATAGCCTCTTTTAAGCCTATCTTAGTAATGCTTTTTTCTTTTCTATTTTTTCCAGGCACTCCCTGTCCTCTGGACTGCAGCTCAGCTACAGCACAGCACAGTTCCAGATCTAGGTAGTTGGCTATTCCCTAGAAGATTTGTAAGTTGCTTTCTCACTTACTTTTCAAGATATTGCTATAATTTTGTATAAATTCTGTACTTCACCCCAGTATAGGGAGCTGTAAGGTCTGCAAATACATTTTTTTTTAAGTTTCTTTTTTTCCCTTTGAATCAGCAGAGAAAGCAACCAACACAAAAAGTAGGATATAAACATATCACCTCAAAGTTTACAAAACTCACTTTAGAGGAAACATAAGCCTAATGACTATGAAAGGTAAAAAGTAAATGAAAAATAAATATATGGTAATTAAGAGTCATTAATCTTGAATGACATGCTAGGAGAGTGCTTTTGGAAACTAGGAAAAGATCCTAGTGCTCCTCTTTTTTAGAGCAGAAAGTCTTTCACTGAAAATCAGTCCTGTCATAGATGTTTACAGTTAATTCGTTAAGATTCTTGAGAATGGTTTAAATTGCTTCCCTGAGAGGAATTAAATTATTCAGGTTTTTTTTTATACTTTTATGTTAGTGATTTTGACAGCTTCAGGGACAGAAATATTGTAATTATTCAGAAAACGAGTATGATAGAAATGGATGCCGCACATAGTCACTCAAGTTGCCTATCCAATATGACTTGATACTGTCAAATATATTTAAGGTAAGCGGATCATTTAGTCTCCAAGCAACTGAGTCCTCCATGCCTAATTGCAGCAGTGTTTGTTTTTCTAATATGGGAGCTAAACAGATACCATAAAATCGTTTAACATAGGCCACCAAATAGTTAGGTAGGACTAGAAAATTATCTTTTTCCCTGTTAACTTGAATTTACATCACTGTGACTGAAAAAATTAGTATCTTGGAATCCACTACCAATTCCTTAAGCCAGTAGTTTTCAGTGTTTTGTTTTGTTTTGTTTTTTTTTAAGATGATACCCCATTATCCAAAGCAAAAAAAAATTTCAGCTCTCTTTGTCTTTATAAAACTGAATTAACATCTATTGTTTGTAAAAGTTACAAGTCTATGTAATATTTATTGAAAGGCTGAAAAGCATGCTTGACCTTGAAGAATGAAAGTTGCCAGGAATGCAGAGGCTAGGTTGCTTTTGCTGTATAATTTGCAAGATTTTCAACAACTCACCAACACCTGACCACGTTTCATGACTACCATGTGTGTCACAACCCACCCTCTCAGAAATACTGCCCTGATCCATCCCCCTAACCATAATGATGAACAGTGTAATTGTCTAATTCCAGTATTGGTGATTTAGAGTCATCAACAATATTTCCCAAATTATAGTATGACAGCCAACGAGTAATATTCCTTCCTTGTAAGAGATGTATTTGGCTGTAATTACCTGGATATTTGAGGTCTAAGCAAGCTCTTGGACATCTTATGGTTAACTGCAACATACCAAAAACTAAAAATATCACTCAGATCTTTGAAGATGAGGTTGCTCAAAAGGACAAAAAGAAAAGTGAAATGACTCCTAGTACCACATGACAGGTGGCTAGTTAAATCCATTGTCTGAATACAGAACATATATCTTGTCAGTTCAAAGACAAACAAAACATAAAAACCCTGAAGTATTTCTGTGGACTTTCTTATTTACTTAAATCATTATTTTAAATTAAGTCAATACAGCATCAAACAATTAAAACACTGCAGTCTACAAGACTACGTAATAATTTCCCCAGGGAGACAAAACATTATTTTGTATAAACAGAATGGGGGAAAAAAAAGAGAATGTTCTACAAGGAAAAAAGCCTTTAAACGAAGAGCAACTGAAAGCCAACCTGCTGCCTCTGATGAAATGTGATGTTTATTTAGCTACAAATATGTGAACAATTCACCAGTAGGACTGCCTTGGAAAAAGAGGGAATGACCAAGAAAGGTGTTTTACTGTGGGCCATTTGAGAAGTCAGTGGTACTAGGACTCGGAACTCAGAGAGGATCTCTGTCCCAGGTCTTCTGGAAGCACTGGCTGATCTCTGTGGGGAACCCTCCTAAGAAAAAAGGCGGTTTATACTTCAGTATAAAGTACACCATCAGTGTCCCAATTAGCTCAGGCCAACTAATTCCCTGTAACTCTACTCAAACAATGAAAATTATACTTGCCACGTAGCAAGCCAGGTCAAGGGAAGCCTGCGCTTCAAGTCAATCAACGCAGCATGTTGTGAAGTCTGAACAGCCTTGCCTGTACTAGGGATCCTGTGAAATATGTTAGCTAGCCTGGTTGAATAACTAACTTTAATCCTTAATGTTTTCTCTGGATTAGCAACTTTTATAGTGTATTAGGTATACTGGTCAATTAATTTGTTAAACCCAAACGCTCCTCAGAGGTTGCAGTTTGCTTAGTACATTTGCATCCTGGAACAAGCATTGGAGGAGCAACCGAATTAGGATGGCCCAAATCTGACTAGTAATCAATTACATCAAAGTAATAAAAATAGACATATCTTGAAAAGGCTTCAGACAGTCCTTTGATGTCTCCTTTAGTAAACACAATAGGCCAAATTAAGTACTGCTGAGAACTGCTGTAAGAGCTTGGTCATTTTCCGTAACAGTGTAACTCCTACCGACTTGGCATGAAGTCTCAAGGCAGCCTGAGGCGTCAAAAAAACAGGTACAACAAGGAAAAGCAACCACCTCCAAAGGGATGTGGTAAAGTAGGTCACCATTAAACGCCTTTTTGAAGAGATCTCCAACTGATGTACCCTGGCCTACTGAAATGGATAAAACATTGATTTGCTCCAGAGAGGGGTTTCACCTGCTGAATTCAGCCTGTGTTAGTAACTGTGACTAATTGCTCGGCCCTTCACAGCCCTATTTTAAGATGGTATTTTGCCATGTGTGTTTGTATTACCCATGTTTATTCAGAAATGTAAAGAATTCATACAAAAGAAGAAAACAAAGGTAGTTAGTAACTGCATGGCAACAAAACTTTTTGTTTTTCAAAACTGGCATTGTAATTATGCCGTGCACATGCTCATCTGACTTTCATGCTTCAATATCCATAGGGCTGAATCAGCATGAAAAAAGAACATTCTTGTTGACACAAACTGATGCTGACTTTAAAGGAATATCTTTTTCATTTAGATCAAATGGTAGTTTTTCTGGGAAAACATGAATACTCTGAATGAATACTAATAAATATCCTGTAGCAATTTTCAGAGATTTCATTTAGGTCTGTGAAAATAACATAATGAATTTTATGTTGTCAAAATTTTCTTCTTGTAAAATAGCTCTTATTTTCTGCAAGGGTTTCAAGAGAAGATAAAAATATTATTTAACTGAAAGAAAACTATGTTGTCACTATGAGGCCAAAAAAGTGCTAAACTATGAAGTACTAAGCAAAATGCTGAAGTCCAGAAGATTTTGTGGGGAACTTTGGTCTGTTGATCTTGGTGTAAGTTACTGAAGTATTTTATATTCTTGTGACTCCCACGTGACCTTGTGTAAGCCATGAAACCTTCACATGCCATTATTCAACAAAATACTCAAGCTTTTTACTGGGACTTGTATGTGGATTTAAATGGTAGATCTTACAACTCCCTACATAGAACAGCAACAATTTTAAATGGTTTTATGTAGGGACTCAGTGTTTTGCCCCATGACCTAGCAGTGAGACAAAAAGCACTACTATACATAGGAAACATGCGGAATAGGTTGGGAATCGTTTTACTGAGAATGTCAGAGAAGCTGTCAAAGAAACAATGGGAGATGGAGTTACCAAATTGGAATATTCAGACAAAAAGTTACCTTTTATCTAATATTCCTTAGAAAGCTAGCTGCTGCCTAACACATTGACCTTGGGCTGGACTCCAGATGTGAAAGGGTTTTGCTACTTCTTCTTCCTAACAGAAGGAGACACAATGGTCCCAGATGTAACAGCCAGGGAACTGAGCACAGTTACAAAGGCTGTAGCTATGACTTACTGTCCTTCTTGAAGCAGAGAAGCCCCCAACTACACAGGAAGCACTGGTCTGCGGTACTTAAAACACAGATCAGGTGGAACCCAGTAACATCCCCAAACCCGTTTTTCTTCCACTGGCACTTGAGTTGGCAAATTCAGCCTTTTTATTTGTTGTGTTCAAAAAAAGCCAATGGAGCAATCTTAATTGATCAGCTTTCTTCTGTGATCTTTTTCTTTGTGGTCTCCACTGAATCAAAAGGGTCCCCAATAAGGTGAGTTTTGCTCTGGGTAAAGAGGGCTTTGACTGCAAGCTTGATTTATGATAATTAAAGGAAAAACAAGTTGGACAGGATGCTGAAGAGAAAATTGAGGCCTGGTAATACATGCAAACAGGGAGAATCTGTTGTTGTTGATCTTCTTAGCGCTTTGTTCTCCGGCAGCAGAAGCTGTTGTGTTTTGTCTCCTCCAAGCAGGAACTAATAATGATCTACCAGGGGGACTAATAAGAAAGATGTTTTGCTTTTGTGAAAGTGATTTGTTTTGTTTTCTAAAAAGGAAGACCTTTTTGGAAACATTTTGCATCTTGGCTCTCCCTTGCCTCTCAGATATATGAAGCATCCTGTATGGAATGCTGCTCGGTGTCCAGGGTGCTTGGTTGCTCCACCTGTTTTGAAGACAGGTAGAATAGCATGCTCAAAATGTAAAAATGGCTGGTCTCAGGCAAGCGGAAGTGAAAAGCTGACACTGATATGCAAGCAAGCTATGCTAAGCTTTAAACTAAGGCTGGGATGCTTTTCCCTTGTCCCCTCTGCTGAGGGAAAGTGCGAAAACAATGCATCAACGCAATCTCCATTCATGTTTGCTTTGTTAGACTGTCACAAAGCAGCAAATTCAGCCTTCGGAGGTTATTGACCACTTGGATGCATGGGGCTCTGTAACCCTGTACTTGAAAAAGCAAACCAAATTCAAAGATGGAGTTCAAGTGGGCTGGTCTGTTCTCAGTATTTTGGTGCAAACTGTTTATTAGCATGCCACATCCACTGAACTATTTTGCATAATATATCTCTGAAAATCTAACCCAACTCCACTACCATATGAGGATTAGACGTGGTAATACCTCTTTTCAGCCACTTCTGAGGATTAGCTTCAGAAAGCAAATTAAAATTAAGTAAACCCAAATAGACTGGGTAGTTCTACAGTAAGATGCAACGCCCATATTCAGTAACCATCATCTGTACCTCTTGCATTTTGTATTACTATAGGAGGTATCCGTGCAAGTAGCGTTATAGTATACATACTGCCTATAGTAAAGGTGAGAAACTCTTTGTGTATGGCATGTTAATATATTAAGGTCATGAGGACTTATTCACCTGCGTATTCCTACTGAAATAGAAAATCTATTTATTTATTTCCAAACACTGAGGGCAAAATATATGATTTTTACCTCACAATTTGATGAACAAGAGGTGAGGGTGAGAAGTGTAATGTTCTCCAAGCAGGACTGTGTGCTGTGACTTGCAGAAATGTCTATGAGCGTGTGTCTTGTTTTTCATTCCTACACAAGTAATTATTTTTTATTATTTTTCTCAAGTGTATTTAAAGGTATTTAAATCGTTTTAAAATAACCAGTGAGTGTAATAAAGTGTTTGTCTGAACAGGTATACTAAAAATATGCAAACCTGGTTTTCAGCAATGGCTATACACAAGAGCTATCCAATACATTTTAAATTTTATTTGGGGTCAAATGCTAATAGAGATACTGATTTTAACACATAACTGTTGAAAAGCATACACACAAAACCTGATTAACAATTCCTCTTGTCTTAAATTAGCAGGGAAAATTACCCACTGTCAACAGTATGTTTGTGCTGTTCTTCATTCCTTTCATTATACAGTAAAATGCTAACTGCAAGCCAGATCAAAATATAGTCATATTAGAGGTCATTAATGTCAGATAATAATTAAAAATGTATAACTGGAATACTGTTCACTACGTAAATCTCCCGAGATGACAAACAATAATGAAAAAAGTTCAGGAAGTTTGTAAGCAATTTACAAGGCAGAAGAAGATGTCTGTGACAGAAAGACAGACATGCTGATGACTTGGTGCAGTTTAATAGCATCTGTAATGCAAATCAGGCAAGGAACAGCAAGGTGTTTTTCAGCGATATTCTTGATTAAGATGGTAAGAACATTAATGAAATAGTTTGGGACTACACTTACTGAATAGGTGGTTCGGTGCAATTAATAAGTAGAAAATGAAGACTACACAAGGAAGTTGCTAGGAATAGTTCAAGTGATCATGGAAAGAGAAGTGGACTTTACACGGCATTGTTTTCTCTCTAGCCAGCACATGATATGAATGATAAAAAACTGTCACGGTCCTAATACAGCAGTATTTTTAAAATAATAAAAGAGCACTGCTCCCCTAATTCACTGCTGGCTATTCTCTGGCTTCATACTGAAAATGTTGTTACACAATCCTGTTTTCTGAATATGCTGCCTTCCTCAGGCAAATAATAATTAGCATCCTAGATAGCCAGAAAACTAACAGTAGTGCAATAAAGGCACTATAACAAACTTGCTTCAGTGCAATAGATTTAGCTAATTACGTATCCCTACTCCCTGGACATCTTTATTTACGATATATCCCCTCATTACAGCAGAAGGGCAGCCTGGCAGCCTTTCTCTGTTCACTGGAGTGAGTCCTTCCCCACATACGCAAGGATGCATAAATCTACACAATTTATTACTATGAGAAAAAGAGCCTAGCTGAGAGTGATTTGTCGACGCGTGCAGCATAAAATAAAAAGCCTCCGAGGTTTGGTTTACTTGTATGTGCCCATACACTACTGAAAGTTTCCAGGCCCGTTACTCTCACACCAGGCCTGCGCTCCCCTCCCGGGTGAGGGCCGCCCTCCAGCCGCGCCTCTAGTACCGCGGCGAGAGCTGCCGGCCCCTTCGCGGCAGGGCTCCCGCCGCCGCTGGCAGAGGCGGCAGAACGCCGAGGCCCCGCTCCTTGCCGCGCCGCCCGGTCACACGGACGGGCGAGGGACCAGCGGCCGCGGCCCGCTCGGCCAACCCGCCCCCCCGGTGGCGACCGGCACCTGGGGGCGCCACTCGGCGCGCGGAGGAATACCGCGCCTCCGCGTCAGCGCACGCATGTAGATCCGGCCGCCGCCATTTCGTGGGGCGGCGGAGGCGGCGGCAGGGTGGGGGGCCCGTCGTCAGCCGTGCGCGCCGCCGCGCCCAGGGGGCTGCCGCGGGCCCGCGCCCGCCGCGGAACGGAACGGCGGGGCAGCCGTGCCCGGGCGGCCCCAGAACCTTCCTCCGCCCCGCCCCGCCCCGCCCTCCCTGCGCGGCGCCGCCGCTACCGCTCGCCAGATCACACACACACACACACACACACCCCACCCCGGCTGGGCGGGGCCACAGCGCGCACAAGCGGCGCATGCGCCCGGCCGCGCTTGCCCCGCCCCTTTCCCCTCTCGCCCCCGGGGGGGCGGGGCGCCGCTGGCGGCGGCTTCTCGCCCCGCCCCGCCGGCTCCGCCTCCCGCCCTCCCGCGGCGTCTGGGCCTGGCCGGCGGCGGCTGTTCGGGGCTCTCTCGCCCTCTCTGTCGGGCGGGCGGCGCCTCTCGGGTTTCCCCGCACACCCTTCCTCCTCCCGGCGGTGACGAGAGGCGGCGAAGCGGCGCGGCGCGGCGGGTGGAGCGTCTCCCCCGGCAGCCTCCCCGGCGAACGGCCTCGCTGTCCGCAGGCAGGGCTCCGGTCGGGCGCCCCCCTCGGCTGTTTCCGGAGGAAGGAGAAGCGCAGCTGCTCCCTCCCCCCTCTCCGCTTTCCTCCTCCTCCTCCTCCTCCTCGCTCGCTCCCTCCCTCCCTCCCGGCCCCCCCTCGGCGCGAGCGGAGCGCGGAGTCACCGCGGCGCACAGACGGGCCCGGCGGCGGCGGCGGCGGCACTCGCACACAATGGCGCTGAAACGCATCAACAAGGTGAGCGGCCGCGGCTCCTCCTCCGCTTGTCCCCCGCTTCCCCACCTTTTCCCCCGCCTTACCCGCTTCGGTCTTTTTTATTTTTTTATTTTTTTTTTTATTTTTATTTTTGATTTTTTTTTTCCCTTCCTCGCCCCCGGGAGGAGAGGGCACGGCTTCGGGGGTGTGCGGGCCGGGCCGGGCCGGGGAAGGGGGAGTGGGAGGCTGGCGGAGCGAGGCCGGGCAGCGGCCGGTTCCTTCCGGCGAGGCCGCGGCCCGGCTGTGGTGGTGAGGCCGCTCTCCCTGGGCCTAGGCCCGGGACCTCGGAGGGCGGGGGGGGCTGCGGAGGGCGGGGGGACGGGCTCGGTTGGGGCCGGAGCGCAGGCGGGGAGCGGCAGCTTCTGGGGACGCTCAAATGTCAGCGCAACCCGGGGCCAGCCCGGCTCGGCGGTGGCGTCGCCGCCCCTGCCCCTCCGCCGCCGGCCGGCCCCGGTGATGCCGGTACGTGTGCGCTGGAGGGGCTTTCGGTCCGATCGCGGCCCTCCCCGGCGCAGGCTGCCGTCCTCCCGGGCCGGTCTCTCCCCTCTGGCGTGTAACTTCTTTCTCGCATTGTAAGATGGCGGCGGGTTCGCCTAGTTCGGGCTCTTTCCGGGATCTCTCGCTTTCTGCAATAACATGACACACACACACGCACACACACGCGCGTCCGCGCTCCCGCCGGCTCCGGAGCGGCTGCCGCGGTGCCGTCATCTGCCCGCGTTCTCCCCGCTCCGGCCCGGGGCCGGCTCGGCCCTCCCGCCGCCCGGGGACCGCCGGCCGCCTTGCCTCGCGCCCCGCGGGAGCGCGCAGCGCGCCGCCGCCGCCTCCCCGTTGCACAATCGGAGCCGGGTGGAGTAACTTCGCGGTTAACTCGGAAAAAATGCCGGGGTGATGAAAGCTTTTTTTTTTTGTTGTTGTTTTGTTGTTTTTTCTCGTTTGTGTTGTGTGTTTGTTTGGGGGTTTGTTTTGGCTTTTTTTTAAAAAAAAAAAAAACAAAACAAAACAACAAAAAAAAAAAAGCCAAACCAAAACCAGAAAACCCACCTCTTCCGGGGAAGAATCCTCCCGACGCGAGGTCGCGCTTAGGCAGCTTTCGGGTTTCTCGGCGGCAGCGCTTCGGGTTTGGGGCTTGCTGGGATGTAATTGCAAACGCGATGGGAGCGCAGTGGCGTTACCGGGAAGTCGCTGTTGATCTGTGCTCCTACGCGAGCTACGTGGAGCATCTACGTATTTCAGGAGCTGAGAAGGAGTTTCTTGGTCATCTCGTAGCTTGGCAAGATGGCAGAAAGTCAGTGTGTCCTGAAATCGGTGCACGAAACACTTCTTATAGACAGTGTATAAAGTTTGCCATCTAATAGTCTTAGTTGTAATTTCACATCTCTCTGGTAGTTCTCGTGGGCATATTTTAGTCAAGATGAGGTTATTTATAATTTGTTACTGAAAGGATAATTCTGTTATCCCTGAAAATTTTAAATCTGTTCTGGATTAGTGCTAGCTAAATGAATTGTCTTTGAGTTACGGCTACACTCCTACAAGAATTTCAAAACAATTTCTTTTGAATCTGCCATCAGAACTCGTTCCCTTGTATTAGTGGATGATATCACTTGAGTTGAAACACATCAAGGATACTCCCTGGTATGCTTTGTCATCAACTCATGCTTATGAAACATATTCAGGCACTGCAGGTGAGAATTTATTGTCAGATATAAACCAAGGCAAACCCCTGCTTACGTAGTAATCTGGTGGTCAAAACATTAAAACAATTCAGCACAATTTGTGAATCAGTAAGTAATTTCTTCAACTTAGGGGGTTTGGTCTGCTGTATGCAGTCCTGTATTGGTCCTTACGGCCTGTGGCACTGTGTAGTTCTTCCTTTACTCAGTGCTGGAGTTTAGGATTGGTGAGATGGTTGGGTTATGGTTCTGTTTTTTTGTTTCTTTGGGTTTTGGTTGTTTATTTTTTGTTTTGGTTTGGGGTTGTTTTTTGGGTTTTTTTTTGAAGGTGCTATTTTTAATCACACCATGCTACAACATACACTTCCAAACTCACATAGGGTTTACAGTTTTGATTTTGTATTTGCCAACCTGGAAAGTGAGGTTTTGCTGGACTGAAACCATTGCTTACAAGTTGCTTTCTTCCCAAGCATGGTTTCCAATACGAGTATTTACTGGGTTTGAGGCAGAAATCCAAAAATAGCAGGGTGAATTTTGTAACGAGGTGGTCATGAATTTAGATTTTTAATCTTGCCAACCGGTAAAATCGGGCAACAGCACTCTGTTACTGGTGATCTGGGATCCCCTGTTTTCCAGTCGTAAGGTCACAGATCAGACCTTGAAACTCTGCTTCCTTGTAGTATGTTGTTGGCACTAGATCAGAACAGGCTAAAGAGAGACCAGGACCTCAGAACATTGTAATCACACATAGCTGATTTAGTCTGACTTGTGGTATTACCTGTCAGGACTAGAATTCATTGTCTCCTGCAGCAGATGACATCCCAATGCACCAGTGAAGGTATTTTCAGTCTGTTTGGCCAACTTCCTCTTTGTGGGCTTGCTGTATCAAGCAAAATAAAATTCTTTCTTATGTTGGGTAAATCAGACTTTCAGACTGTGTTAGTTTATGTAAATTCAGTATGAAGTATACTGCACATTCAGAATACAGCAACCCCTACTTAAAACAGATCCGGCAGATTCTACTTTTGGCTTGGAAATGAAAGCATGTGAATATTCGTGTGTTATGTGTTGGGTTATCTACTTCTGGAACACCCTTTATAAAGTGCTTTCCAAACTGAAGTAGTTGTCAGGTACATAGCCAGTCCCAGAAAGATTATGTTATGCTGGAGCTCATCATCGCAGCTGTGCCATCTGCCCTGAGGGTAGCCTGAATTCGATTGGCAAAACTCTGCTTTTATTGATATGACTTGCTTTGCTCAAGAGTGGCAGTTGTTTTATTATAACAAGCAAGTGCTTTTGCCGTGGCATGTGTGCCTACATCTTATATTTAACTGTTTCCTTTCCTGAGGTTGAAATTTTTTCACCTTCCCCCCCCCCAATTTTCAAGTCATGTTGATTTATATCTAAATGCTTGATATGTGCTTGTGGCACATGGTCTTTGAAGTACCGAGTGGTACCTTCTAAGTGCACATCCTGTAATTGCTGCAGCGTGTTGGCATTTCCGGTTCAAATTATGATGATCTGGTACTAGGGAAACATTTATGTAGGAGTAAGGAATTGGGAATGCATAAAATTCAGAAAACTTGGGAACATTACATCATGGATATACATCAATTTTATCACTGCTGTACACATCCATTAAAGCTAGGTAGTAGGAAAGACCCAAGTGGTGATCTTGATAGGCTAAAAATAGAATTAATACAGGCGATGTAGGCACGAAATGTCTTGTCTGTGAAATCCTTAAGAAAATTTGTGCTTGCTGTGTTTTATGTCCATTTGGTTAAGTATAGCACAAGCCAGCATCATTATGTCGGGATATTTTATTAGAAAATTTTAAATGGAGTTGGCATCCTGGAAGCTAAAGGCTGAAGGTGGCAAAATCAGTTATCACTACTTCAGTGCAGATAGGTGGCTCCCACTGACAGTGGTGGAGTGGAGACTAAATAACTATTTTCCTCGAGGCTATAGCTCCCAGGGATATTCCTAGATGTATAATTAATTGTAACTTTAACCCCCCTCCTCCAAATGCTTATAGTAAGAAATGCTGCGAACTCTGGAGATACCCATAATATTTTTCAGAGATTGGATGTAATATGCAGCAATGAAGGCAGCATGGAAATCTGCATTAGTTTAACCAAAGGTGTAGCTTTTGTAGAGGTGATTCAGTTAAAGAGTTATAACGCCTGCTTATTCTTTTTGTCTTGAAGTGCTACTCTTTTCTTTTGAACTGAAATTTTTAAAAATGAGCTTAGCTAGAAAAAGCTGTTTGGAATGAAGTTTTCTTTTCTGGATGAAACCAACAATATTTTTGCAGGCAGTCTTGGATTTAGTTTGCTGGCCTTACTCAAAATAGTTAAATAACTGAAAGTTAAGTGATTGATCTTACGCTTTGAATGAATGTCTAGAAGGGAGTCTGGATTTGTCTGTTTAGGGGCTCAGAAAGTTAAGATTAACTAGCTAATGAAATGCAGTTGATGCAAGCTTAGTTAAAATGCTTTAAACCTTTGTGGATGCTCTCTGTATGTATTGAATTACCTTTTTTACTTTAGTTAATTCACCTTGGCTATTTCACGTATCCAGGGGTAGACTTAAGTCCTGCCTCAGGTAGATAATGCAGTGCAGCTATGGCACTCGGTGATTGGAAGGGCCGTGTTGAGCCAGAAGGCAGTGGTTGATTTTAAATCATGATATTTCAGTAATGGAGTTTGGGAAACACTAGTATTGAAGAACGTAGTGATTTTTAAGAGTCAGAATAAAATTACTCAGTATCAGATAAAAGTTGTCATCACTTAAATGCTGTGTAAGATTTAGTTTATCAGAATAGTCAGAAGTGACGTTCATACTACAAAATTAGTATCATTTAAGTGGTAATAATGTTCCTTAATTGGATAGGTTTGATACCCATATTCCAGTCCAGCGTTTACAATTAAGGTCTTGGACATGTTTTCAGACTAGTCATTTTTTTTGAGGAGGAAATTGATGCTTCCTTAACTAGAAAATTTAGACTTTGGTAACTCAAAGATTTCTCTTGTTAATTGGACACTGTGCTTGTGGAACAAGTTTGCAGTCAGCATAGATCTTTAAATGTGTGCATTGCGATGGGGGGAGAAGGGGATTGTAATCTCACTTAAGTAATTTACAGAACTTCAGAGATCAGTATTCCATTAAACGGGTACTTCTTACGTAACTTAAAAATGGAGTTCTCCAGTATGTTAAGGATTTGGGTGGGATAATGTACAGAGTGAAAAGGTTGTCCTGCCAACATTTTTTTTTACAATCGTTCCAGCTTTTAAAGATCTGTTTTTGAAA